ATCCAGCCGTTCACCATGATTGAATAAAATTTAAATAATCCACGATTTTAACGACAAATAACATAAAATATTATGATATGTACATAGTTTAAAACATTAACTGCTGAAACAGTGTGTTTGTGAACTTAAGAAACTACATATCGATGAAGAATCCCATAACAATGGCGGGTCTGAAATTGAAGAATACTATGAGATTCATAAAAAATCGAATCAAATTATAAAATTGGTAAAGTGCAAGTCAGACTCCAAACATTATCCACAAAAAGCGCAAAGAAAACACATTTGTTTTATGGGAGTCCCCATAAATATTTATAAGAGGGACGGACAGACAGACGGATGGACAGAGTCATAGCAATAGCAGAGTATATTAGGATCCCGCTTTACCCTTTGGGTGGGGAACCCTAAAAGAGAACTGGCTGACAGATGTTGTACGTCAAAAACTTGCAATAGATTAATGAAAGTCCAACCAACTAGACCTTTGCTTTAAGACGAGACGTTTATTGAATGGTTAGTATTTAAACAATCGAATATAAATTCAAATAATGGATGTCAAAATACTTTTTAAGGCGTATTGAAATATATTATTAAAGACTGTGTACGAACACAAATATTGATAATATGAATTTGAAGTAAATAACGAGTTTTTCAGAACGATTCGTTCAATACTCATTTGAATTTCTATTCGTGCAAAAATTTCGCAACATACAATAAATTCAACATATTGCATAAAACTTAATGTATCGGGGACCGCGCCAGCTCTGTGTATGGTAGTCAAATGAAAAGGCTACTACTACAAGGCTTGACAAATGTACTTTCGGTAAAAAATGAAAACTGTATAAAAAGAATATAAAAATCTGTTTTTTAATGAGAAGTCTCTTGAGTCACGTGTCTTACTACGGGATGTTGGTAAAATTTCTGTGTATAACGGAACAAGTTCATATTCAAAATAAAAAAAACCTTTGCTTTATGTACAATATGAGTATTCAATATTATTAGTAGACAATATTTGTGAAGATAGCAGTATATTTTCGCACCTGTGCCCAACCTGAGTCCACACCATTCCTCGTCACCCTTTTCGTTGATAGTACAGTTCGTTATGGGATTTACACAAATTAGACAGAACATAAATAAAACACGTAATTATTACATACACCGTGTCTGGGTTTTTCTTAGTAAGTAAGATGTTTTACGGAGACGAGGAGAGATATAATATTGATATTAATAATTAAATTAACATTGATTCGTGTTCTTGAAAGAAGATTATTTTAAGAGCTAACATAATGGTACAACCCTAAACGGTACAACCCAGCTTTCATGCTACAAGTCCTGCGTTATATCCTAATCGAAGTGTTTCATAAACCATGTCGGCCAATGAACCAGACTCAATATATATACTAAAACTAGTGAAAGTAGAAGAGTGATTATATATATGCACTATTATCCACGAATGATTCGAATAAAAAATTCAGATCGACCCTTTAAAAAAGTAGAGGCACGACCTTATCGTACCTACTTCCGTCTATTTTTTGAATCATTACAAAATAGAGATTTATTTTTGTTACAAAACGAACAGGAAAGGGAGTATTTATCAGTATTTGCAGCTCTGGATATACATATATTGCGGAATATACGAATTAAAAGGCTTAGGACTGCCATAACAGTTACATTGTTTACAGCAGCGAGTGACGTTCAGCTCACTATCTATTGGCGTGATTCACAATTCATAGAAGGCGCGTGTAATTGGCGCGATCAATATTTTCAATGGAAACACCAGGACGAATTTTGCTATTGAGGAATTGTGAAGTTGAAAATTTTAAAAGTAAAGTTAAAAAAATTAATGTAATGGACTTATTAGCACTAGAGACACAGCTAGAGAGCAAAAGTACCTACTACGGGTAGACTTATTGCGTACTGGCATTTGATACACACACATCTTACTTTACGCAGATAACACCATTCCGCTTGATTTCTACTAACCGAATATATGACTTACAACACTTATGTATGAGGATAAGTAGTTTACAGATATTCTCCACGCAGAACTATACAAGTTAACGTAAAGTAGAAGATCAAAGTAGACAATTATATGTATGACACGATATCTTAAGCCTTATATGTAAAAAAGAGTGTATTTATTTATTATCCAGGTCCAGGTAGAGACCGGTTAGTGTGAGTCATGTGCGCAGGCGCTGACTGACCGTTATTAATAAGTGATTTCTTAACATCACTTGACTCACTACAGTGGGTGAGTGGATGACCTTACCAAACGATCACCGATTTCTGCTCCACTCGCACGCTTGCAAATAAGTACATTTGTAAGGTAAGGTGAGGTAAGTAAATCTAATTTATGTAATTCTGAACGTAGCTCTTTTTCATTCAATGTCTGTTACATTGAATGAAAAAGAGGAAGAATATTGAGTGGGTAAGAAGAAAAGAGCAACAGATAATATCAGAATTATTGGTTGTGTAAAAGCGAGACGGAAAATATGTCCACTAGGTGTAAGAGGGACGCAAAATAAATCGGAAGGGATTCGGTCGCTACTTTACTCGCCCGTCGAGCCAATCGTTATTTTTTGATTTTACTCACTTTCCCTCACTTCACTTCAACCGATTAATGCTATTCATATAAGGTAACGGTAAATAGGCACTAGTTGTGAGGAAATGCTAAACTAAACTAAGTCGTTCTATGAAACTCATAATACGGACCCACTCCCTCGATCAATCGTTAAATGTATCGAGTCCACCTTTCATTCGTAGCGAGTCACAATTCAGCTGAGTGTCATTAATGTGTTTATACCTCGTATTCGAGGGCTGAGAAAATGAGGATCAGAATGAGGTGATTCAAAGTTGAAGAACGAGTGCCTGTCTCATTTATTCGCGACGAGTAACTCAAACGAGGTACCTCACGAGTGAGGTATTCATCACTACAATAGAGTTCGTCGGCCGCGCGCGCGACGATGACAGTGTCGGGATGCACGTATTAAATACAACCGTGCTACTTGTATATGCACGTATTATATTCCCAGAACCGTTACGACTAGGACTGTTATAATTACAGATAACGTCAATACCTATAATTAAACAATAGTCCCAAAACACTTAAACGGCTCTTGGATCATAGTGCTATGAAAAGGCTCTTTAATAGGCCAGCAAGATAGTGGTGGCCTCCTGGAGTAGTTTCGACTTCTGACAGCTGCGACTATTAGTAGACTGTAATGTCGCTTCCCACCAGGTATATTACAGTCACTTTGTCGTGCAACAATAAAATAAAAAAGTATTTTAAAAATGAATGAATAGCAATGGAAATAGCATAAGGATAATCTTTAGTGATTATTCTTATTCTCAAATACAAGCCAAAGTAACAAGGAGTCCATTCGTTATACATATGCACACGTATGCGAGAACGCGACATACACCCCGTGCGGGGCGGATGTACAAAAATAATGCGTTGCTATGAACGCCACAACAAAAACAAGAATACGGAGCGCGCAGGCGGGCGCCGACCGTGAACACACGCCCTTACAACTTACACTTGCCTTTCTATATTCCTTATTGGATATCATAAATAGGTCTTGTCAGTCTCCCGTTACTGCTTGATCTCCCACACCGCCTGGTTGGCCGAGATCTCTTATAGAGATAAGCCCACCCTTGCTTGTGATTTACCTACTATTGTAATGTTAATTTTTTTTTTGTGCAATAAAGAGTATATTATAATTATCCTACTGATATAATAAATGCGAAACTTTATGCAACTCTTTGCTGCAAAAATTATTCAACCAATTATGATGAATTTTGGTATATGGACAATTCTATGTTGAAAATATTGGTTATTTTTGTTTTTTGTTTTAAAGGTTTGGGTTACATATTTGTAAGTTGACATACCTACCCATAAAATATAATCTATATTATAAGTATAATATAAATGTTAACAGCCTTATAATATTGCAATTAACAAGCAGTTTAGTTATTCAGCAATGGACATAAATGGCCCTTTTGTTTAAGTTCACACAGCCTTTGACCATACTCAGAAACTTGATTGTAAAGAATAATGTTATGAATGTTATCGGAAAGGATGCCAGCCAGCACCATTGTGTTTGAAGTCCATTGTGTGGAAATATTACATACCTGGCAACACAGTGCTCAAATTAGGGTAGCAAGATACGAAGAGTAAAATATCTGGCCAAAATTACATAAAATATATAAATCGAGATTACTTGGGACAAAAATCTATACAAAAATATAAAGATACTAGAATTATTTCTAGGCTATTTCAGCCGTTACCGTGAATAATTTTATCAATTTAAATGATTTGATGGGACATATCCTTCATTATTGGGACTCCAGAATAATGAATATATTGAATATAATATAATATTTGTTACATAAAAAGTAGGATTGTAATGCTATCTATCTTTTGCACAAACATCCATTATGGTTTAATGATGCCTTTAGCTCTAATGAACGTTAAAAATGAAAATTTTAAAATTTTGAATGAAAATTTTAATGGACATTTATGCAACTGACTGTATATCTTATGGACTAATATGATTAAATACTAAGACCAACTGATAAGTTGTAATATTGGAAGCCCTTTTAACAGAATTGTAATATATCATTATTAATTGTGATATTTATATCATCCCTAGAAAGTGTTGTAAGTAACTACTCTACTGAAACATATTTATAAAAATGTACTCTATCCATTAAAATAATTACCTTATTATTCCTTGAGGTAGGTACATACTTCAAAAATTGTTTTATATAATTTTGTTCCCCAGATCATTGGAGAGTTAGTTACTTCCAGGTTGAGCAAGACATACCTACATAGACAAACATGGTCTAGTCTTTTAAATGCATTGAAATATAAGAAAGACTGTCTTTATCAAATGTACTTCAATGTGTTATTCAATGAATATAGTTAAGGAACTTAGAGAACTCTAGGTTGCTATACCTCAAATTAGAGAAGACGTGTTGATTTGATAGCTGTAATGTCAGCTTACCTTCAGGGTAGGCCTGTTTGTTGGCGATGAAGTCGATAACCAGATGAGTGGAGTTGTACAAGGAGCCCATTGCGCGCATGTCGAACTCCACACTAGCTTTGTAGGTGGTGTTTATGATGGGCGTCGAGTAGGTGACGTTAGCCATCTCCATAACGACAGCTATCTCGGAGTGCAGGTCGCGGGTGATGTCGCTCAGGAAGGTCTCGCCGGCGGCGCCACACCCCGCCGCCGCCAACAACACCAAAATCTTCCACATTTTTGCACTCACACTGATCAGACACAAAAGCTTGATCTCACAGCAACACCCACATATCGCACATTTGAATCAGCGGGCAACTCCTCACCGCAATTATTGTAATACTCTCACTGACTATTTATAATTTGGAGGAGGGTAAACTATTTGTTTGCAAAACAAATTTCAAGATACCCGTTTACCAAACATAAACACTTACAAAATGAGGTCGATATCCACAACACAATAAGAAAATATCGATCCACGCGAACGGCTGTTTTACATAATAAAATCGCTGTCCCTAAGTTAACTTTACTTAACCTATTCAGAAATTATGTCAGGATAATTCATATTTGATACAAAAAAAATCTTTTGTTACGAAAATAAAACAGCCGGCACGCGCACCAGCGGGCACAGCGGAGCAGTGAATGATGTGAATGGTTGATTTGACATTTTGAAAACTATAATGATTATGATTCTTTACTTCATTCATTCTATTTCTATTTAATAATGTTGCCATTATAAATAGTACCTTACTATATAGAAATAATTATGAATGATATAAACATGTTTTAAATATGTATGTACTACACGTACAAAAATGAGTATCTAACTTCATTATACTTTATATGATATTTAGACGGAGTATAACCTTCTTTATTACCTAAGTTCTCTTTCTTCTCACTGTTTTTTATATATTTATCTCAATATGAAAAAAATATAGTTTTCGTTTGTGTTGTTGTATGGTTACATAACACAGTGATTTTGAAACAGACGATATACTTAAATCCAATAATATTTCATTCAAACAATGCATTTGAGAGCTATATTTATTGATCCATGACTAGTAAATAGTAAAGTATACAACAGCACATCAGGCTTTACAAAACTGAAATTTTTCGATTTGATTTTAAACCTTAATATTTTGTAGGTATAGTTCAAAATCAATTGTGGTAGCCTGATGTGCATCCGTGTATGCAACGAGACCTGTATCAAAATTCTTTCCTGACTTTTCGTTCGTTCGTTCGGTGTTAAGAGAAGGAATGAAATTAATGTAAATAAGAAAGTGATGAAGAGGAGCCTCGATTAATGGACCACAGAAAAAATGAAGAGACTGTGGGAGGCGTAATATCAAAGAGAAGGGAGTAAGCAATGAGATGACGGCTGACAAAGAGAATTGGAAGAGCAGAACACACTGCGCCGACCCTACATCTGGGAACAAGGCAGGAAGATGATGATGTTAGTAGTAGTAAGAATGCTATTATTATTTACTATTAACAGTTAATATTTAATTTAAATTCTCGTCTATTGGTTAAAAATATCTGCTAGGTTATGTTATTTTCTCAAGTAATTATTTTTCTAGATTATAGATAAGAGTGTCAGTGTTAAATCAGCCGAGATTCTGTAGATCGAGCGCTTCGCATTATTTTATTTATATAGATATATCAAGAGTAAGATGATGTCCAATTATTTTTAGGCAATATAAAATAAGCTTTCTGCCATTGCTGATTAGGTTTAGAATTACTCATATACCAAATATCATCAGAATCTATTCGCATTTTAATCTACTTAAAAAAAAATAAGATTCTCAGTTTGACCTCTATGTATGCATGTTTAAGTGCGATTATCTCGCGTTTGGCTGAACCAATTTTGATGCAGTCTTCAGCATAGTATATTTCAGACCCAGGAGAAGTTTTTAAATATATTAACCAACTAAAAAATATTTTTTTTTTTCAGAAAAAATATTTTTAGTGTTACCTATTATGGAAATATTATCAATATCACGAAAAAGCATGAAATAAAAACTTAAAAAAAACTAGAACACACTTCAAACTTAAAAAAAGCGAAAACATAATACTTATCTCAAAAGCGACTTATTCATGAAAATGCTATCTATATTATTTACCTGGTAACATTTTAGTATGAGTGAATGAGTGAATGCGGGGCGAGCCGAGGGGACACGGACGCACCGTCGTCACTCGCACTCGCGTTACCTTATGTAGCTTCGTGAAAAGTCTATGCTTAATGCTCAGCTTGACGATTCCATAAAATGATGTAGGATGGCGCTATTTTTCGGTTCATAAATATGCGATGTAAATTTTTTACTTAATTTTAAACCTTAATATATTAAAGGACAGGGTGGAAATCAATTGCAGAATTTACCATTGTGTGGTAACACGACGTGCAGCTGTGTGTACATAATATTTTTTTTCCTTTCTCTTTGAAAAGCAGACTAATTTTTAAAATTACTTATCATATGAATAATACTCATCTCATTAATAGAAATAATAATAATCTCAAGGCGGTTTATATCTATGTTCATGAAATACATAATATTAATTTTCAAGAACACACACGCTTTGAGCAGTTTAATAAACTGGAAAAGCATTCCAAAGGCGAATAGGGTAGTTGATTTGGTAATAAAATTCATCATACTGAAACTCCCGTTCATCATACTGATGAGCGGGAGTTTGGAGAACTGAGGTTCCCATTCGAGTTTTTGAAGGTTTATTTAGAGAAATAGACCTATATACTTTATTAATATTAGCGAGTGTTATTGCAATGAGCGAACGAACGGTTAACGCACGCTTAAAGTACACATTCAATAATAAACCTTATTTTTATTGACATAAGAACCAATCGAAGAAGAATAGAAGCTCCACGGCGGAGTTACTAGCGTGCTCTGCATGCGACACGGTTGTTATGCAACTTTCGCAATGACCAGTCACCGGATGGGTGACCAAATATTTATTATTTCCAACTCCTTCGTGCTTTGGAAGGTGCGTTATGCACGTTGGTCCCAGCTGCATCTGCAGATGTTAACATCTACCAATCCGTACTGGGCCTGCGTGGTGGGTCATTACAAACAAGACCAGACATCCCGTTTTAAACGGGATTGACCGTTTTTTAATTTCCCCTCCCCTATTCAAACAAAAAATGGCCACGTTAGTCCAGTGGCGGACTAACCTCGTCGGGGTCCGGGCCGGCATCAGGCTCGGACCTACAACATTTTCCAACCGGGGCAGAAACTTGATATTACGTTTACACAAAACTACGAGTACAAACCCAATTTATGATTTAATCAAGGGAGCTTGCAGCTATTTGGAGGCCCGAGGCGAACCGTCCTTCCGCCCTCCTCTAAGTCATTACTCGTGCTCCTTATTCGATTTGAAGTTTTCGGGGCAAAAGTTGCTGTAGAATTACTGCGTGTCTCTCCGCCCGCTCGTGTTGTAACAGACAAACACGCCAGGGCAGTTTTTTATGATTCGGTGACAAAGAAAATAAAGTTACGATTTCTTTTAGAAAAAAAATTGCATATTACCATTTATTTACAAATTAATATACACACTAATACTAAAATAGTCAATACATACTTAATTAAATAATATTATCACATAAATACTCTTACTTATAAGTAATTTATAACCGTTGTTTGATGAGACAGTTTTGTTCTGTTAGTGTGAAAAAGACAAAACACTGTCAGTGCTATTAATAAATAACATTTAGCATCGGAGTAAATTAAAGCTTAAATTGCAATTTTAGATTAGTCCAAATTCATATTATACAGAGGATAAGCAAACCTACTAGGAGTAAGTATTACTCCCGTAGAACTTCGTACTAGGTTAACCTTTGCTAAGTATGTTTAATAATATGAATTTTGACTAATAAATACCGAGTGCAGTCTCAGCGTAAATTGACTCCAATGCTAAACCTTGTTTATTAATAAATAACACTGTAAGCGGACAACGTTCACACAACAACGCTTATCAGGAAGGCCTTGTTTGTGTGTTTGCATTGAGCTTCATTTATATTTATGACACATGCTGACAGAGATAAAATTAATATTCTTTTATACAGTGTTTATATATTTGTCATCCTCCGTAGCCGAGTGGTTCGCACGCTGATTTCAAGGTGTTGCTACTTCTGAGGTCCCGGGTTCGATTCCCGGTCGGATTAATGTAGAAAATTATCTTTCTTATATCGCCTCGAATCGGGGTGTCGCGGTACCTACGTTGTCTCAGATACTTCATAATACGGGGGCTTTAGCTACTCATCTTGGAATCTGAGCATCGTATGTGATGTTGTCTCGATGGATATTTCATTTCTCGGGGTATACATTTTTCTTTCTTATGTTTTCACGTATCCCACTAATTAAATAGAACTACTTTGAAACGGTTTTTTTAAGAATAATCAAATTTTTCCACAAATTTTCACAATCAAACGCGATTTAACCGTTAAAATCGATGGAAGGTGATAGATCACACGGAACAGTCAGGGGCGGGCGCATCGGGCGCCTGGTCCCGCAGCAGCGGCGCAGCCTCGGCGGCGGCGGTGTGCAGCGCGGCGGCGGCGGCGGCGGCGGTGCGGGCGTGCAGCGCGCGCTGCTGCAGCGCGGAGGCGGCCAGCCGCTGCAGCGTCGCGCCGCCCGCGCCGTACGGCAGCAGCGCGCCGCCCGCGCCCGCCAGCTGCCGGCCCACGCGCTCCAGCACCTGCCCCCAGGACACCCACGCCCGCACGTCACTTATAGGCATATTATTTTATTGTGCGTCGACGTTCTTCCGATGGATCTTGGATGGATTTAAGAAATGTATTCCTTGATATTTCGAAGGCGTTCGATGCGGTCTCTATCCCCTTATCGTTACACGAGATGTACCCGATAGGTGTTAGGGAAATCGTTCTTGACATGTTTGGCGGCTATCTGTCAGATCGATATCGACGTGTTAAGGTAGGTAACGTGTAAAAACGCAGTGCTTTCTTGGGGGGTTCCCCAGGGTAGTGTTTTGGAACCGACGCCTTTCCTTATATACGTCGATAGTCTGTGCCGCTTATCGCTATCTACATAATTGTAATATTATCACCTATGCGGATGACACGACTCTGGTTGTGTATGGGAGGGATCGGGAACTGTAAAAACATTACAGAGAGAATGCTTTCGGAGAGGTCGGGAGATGGCTGAGAGATAATTTACTGTCACTTAACGTGGAAAAAACAATATATAGTGTTTTCTACCCGTGCCGATGCTGTGCTTCCCAGTTTTTCCATCAAGGTTCATCATTGCACGACAGACAATTGATGGGACTTTCCTGAATTGAGGTGTGCGTAAAATGTGAAGTGTCTTGGACTCATGCTGAATAATACTCTAAATTGGAAATTACATATTCGAAACCTAACTAGCCGCATTGGAAAACTGCTTCTAGTTTTCCGTAAGCTTAGATTCTCTTGTGATCGTGATAAATTGCTCAGCGTTTACTATGCACGCTAAGTCATTGTAACAATACTGTGTAGTTAATTGGGGTGGTGTTGATGTTAATACACTGCTCTATTAGAAAGGACTCAACGGGCCATTTTAAAGATAATGATGGGAAAACCGCGTAGATATACTGAGCTCCTATAACATGAATATACGGTACTAACAGTGAGACAGCTATTTGTAATGAACAGTATTCTACTCAGGCACAAGGACCTACCTTACATTCCTCCAAAGCGCAGAAAATTTAGAGTTTGCGAAATAATTCTCCATAAAACAGCTTTTGCGAAACGCCAACACTACGTTATTAGTTCAATTCTATATAATACTGCTAATAGAGTGACTAACATCTATCCTCTGCCTGAGGGGCAAATGCAAGGATTTAATTTAAAATTGGCTGCTAAAATTTAATTTCAACCAAACAGAATAAATTCTGCGTGCATAATTGTTTTTCACACATCTGAAACTGACTGTGACGGTAAGCTGGTCCATATTCCTTTCTTTTTGGACTATTGTTATAATGTTAAGCTCTAAATTTCTAAGTTTTACAATGTAACTGGAAGACGCAGGCAGCTGTGCCTCAGTTTAACACTAGTATAGCTGCCAACGTTAACCTTTATATATGGTGTGCACATACAATAAACCATTGTAACTAGGTAAATTATTTGTATTTCTGAATTGCTCAATAAATTATTATTATTGTTATTATCTTACGACGTCCTTGCGAGGAGGTGCCGCGATTCACCTCGAGTATATTAAATTACCCAGATTATTTCCCGGCTGGCCTGTTCCGTTGTTGAATTGAGTTAAATCCTATCTTCCCTCTCCCGAATTTCGATTCGTTCGGATCGCTCGGCCGTCAGTCGTTCGTAGTGTTTTCGATCAGGTACGTGTTTCGATCGTTTCGGACGAAACGTCGCCCGTTAACGTCATCTCGTTTATAAAATTAAACTCACGCCGGGGAGGGGGAAAACGTCTCCTTTCGGCTGTCCGTCGTGATTACGAATGGCCGTCCTGTTCTGCTATAAATCTAGGTATGGGGTCGAATAGTACATAAATTAAATTAATTGATAGGTCGGCTCTAATTCATGTGTATGTAGAGGCTTCGAGCCATAGAGGCGTACGAGGGAAAGGTACCATCGCTCTCCAGGAGACATGAAAATAAACATGACCGTAGGTCGTATGTCGAAAAGTGTTTCACTTATGTCTTTTTAAGTAGTTTTATTATTTAAAAAATAACTAAATAATAAAATAACCCTGTTTTGCGTATTCGACCCTCTGGCTCGAAGCCCGCGAGCAGTACGAGTATGTGTTGAGAGTGACCTGCACGGCGTGTGCGTCGATTAGCGCCAGCGAGGAGCAGTCGAGCAGCACCGTGTGTGCGTGCGCGGGCGCGTCTGTGTGCGTGCGCGCGTCTGTGTGCGTGCGCGCGAGTGTGTGCAGCACGTGCGCACACGCGCGCTCCACGTTCAGGAACACTAGCGCGCGCTGCGGCCGCCACACCACCGCCTGCCCGCCCCGCGTCTGCGACGGTAATAGGTATAGCCAAGTTACATACGATGTCGATAACTATGCTATCGGTTCAGAAATCTTTGGTGGGGACCTCGATCATATAAATAGTTTCAAATAAAAATAGAAAAAAAATATTGAAACGACTAAAACATCAAAGCCCAAGTATACTTTCTCCGCTAGGTATATATGTCTGCCGTATTATATCAGCCATTCGATTGGGCGGCTAGCCATTTCATTGAATGGCGCCATTCTACGCTACGCTACGCGATCATCTAAAATTTCTTACCTATCACGTGACCTAAAAAATGAAAATAACTTCGTAGTTTTCTCGGATCCAAAGAACAACGAAATTGAAACTGACCTTGATCAGCCGCAGCGTGTCGCGTGCGGTGTGGTGGGGCCCGGCCAGGTCGTAGAGCAGCAGCGCGAGCGCCGCGGCCACGCCCGCCAGCACGCCCAGCTCCACCGTGGCGGCCACGCCCACGCCCAGCGTGCACCACACCACCACCACCTCGCGCCGGTCGCGCCGCCACAGCGCCACCACGGTCTGCACGTCGATCTGAACGCACCGCACCCATATATACACCGATACTCGACCGATACTTTTACTTTACTTGAATATACAAAGATCGATACCATGAATATCACGGCGCATATGAGGACCGAGGAGAGGCACGCCTTGGGGATGAAGTAGAAATACTCAGTCAGGAACGCCAACGCCATGACGGTTATGAATCCTGAAATCGAACGTCACGATAAACCTTTCCGTACACTGCACGTTTACCAAAATAATATTGAAAGCAATCAATGTAAGGCCCGAAATAACATCGATTAGTTCAATATTATTTCTATTGACTTCATAATGTTCACAAGAACTCGCCCGCCTGCAGGTCGATTCTGCAAAAATCCGAACTAGAATTCGTATTCACTGATGTGTCCGAGTTTACGTCATTTAGTGAAGGCAATTATATCGATCCCATTGTTTGTATAAAAATATAAAACAAAATTTATTGATTATACGTGTCTCAGATATTCTATTCCTATGTTATTTCGGGACGCACCTCATGCTAGGAACTTTTATTATTACCAATTCAAAATTGAGCAACTGCTGCTTTATGAACTGAACTCGGACACCTGAGTGTGTTCGAATTTGATTTTTACAGAATCTTAGAGCTGTACCTTTAGTCGAAGGAAAAATATTTTTATGAATTTATAATTATATTAATTTATAATTGTATTTATTTTCAAAATTTTATCAAGCCGATGTAGGTAAATACATAATGAAATTGGTATCATACACGATAAAACCAGTTTCATGAAACTAAATTCAGCATTATATATAACTATTCCGTACGATGACGTCAAATTCATCATCGAATGCGTCAGGATCGAGGTTTCATTTTGCGAACAAAATGCTGTCTGTATTTAAATAAGGTGTAATATTATTTAAATACAGACAGCATCTGAATTTAAATAATATTATGCCAGGACTTCGTTGGGTGGATAAGTTAAATATACTGAACAACTTTTACTATGGGAGCAACACTGAATTCACGATAAAATAAAATTGTAATAAATACTTAAAATTGACAAACAGTATGAAACGGCAGATTCTTTTTCATGAATTCAGTGTTGCTCTCAGAGTAAAAATTGTTCAATATAATTAACTCAACCACCCCACAAAGTCGTAGCATATATATAATAATATTACACTTTATATAAGAAAACTTTTCGTTAAATAAACACGCGCCCGCCGCGTTGCGTGCGACCGTATGCGATAGGGCGGTGTGACGTGTACCCACCCGTGTACAGCGAGGCGGCGGGCGTGCGCACGCCGGAGCCGTGCGCGACGGCGGAGCGCGTGAAGGCGCCGCACGCGGGCATGGCGCCCACGCACGCGCCCGCCGCGTTGCGTGCGACCGTATGCGATAGGGCGGTGTGACGTGTACCCACCCGTGTACAGCGAGGCGGCGGGCGTGCGCACGCCGGAGCCGTGCGCGACGGCGGAGCGCGTGAAGGCGCCGCACGCGGGCATGGCGCCCACGCACGCGCCCGCCGCGTTGCGTGCGACCGTATGCGATAGGGCGGTGTGACGTGTACCCACCCGTGTACAGCGAGGCGGCGGGCGTGCGCACGCCGGAGCCGTGCGCGACGGCGGAGCGCGTGAAGGCGCCGCACGCGGGCATGGCGCCCACGCACGCGCCCGCCGCGTTGCGTGCGACCGTATGCGATAGGGCGGTGTGACGTGTACCCACCCGTGTACAGCGAGGCGGCGGGCGTGCGCACGCCGGAGCCGTGCGCGACGGCGGAGCGCGTGAAGGCGCCGCACGCGGGCATGGCGCCCACGCACGCGCCCGCCGCGTTGCGTGCGACCGTATGCGATAGGGCGGTGTGACGTGTACCCACCCGTGTACAGCGAGGCGGCGGGCGTGCGCACGCCGGAGCCGTGCGCGACGGCGGAGCGCGTGAAGGCGCCGCACGCGGGCATGGCGCCCACGCACGCGCCCGCCGCGTTGCGTGCGACCGTATGCGATAGGGCGGTGTGACGTGTACCCACCCGTGTACAGCGAGGCGGCGGGCGTGCGCACGCCGGAGCCGTGCGCGACGGCGGAGCGCGTGAAGGCGCCGCACGCGGGCATGGCGCCCACGCACGCGCCCGCCGCGTTGCGTGCGACCGTATGCGATAGGGCGGTGTGACGTGTACCCACCCGTGTACAGCGAGGCGGCGGGCGTGCGCACGCCGGAGCCGTGCGCGACGGCGGAGCGCGTGAAGGCGCCGCACGCGGGCATGGCGCCCACGCACGCGCCCGCCGCGTTGCGTGCGACCGTATGCGATAGGGCGGTGTGACGTGTACCCACCCGTGTACAGCGAGGCGGCGGGCGTGCGCACGCCGGAGCCGTGCGCGACGGCGGAGCGCGTGAAGGCGCCGCACGCGGGCATGGCGCCCACGCACGCGCCCGCCGCGTTGCGTGCGACCGTATGCGATAGGGCGGTGTGACGTGTACCCACCCGTGTACAGCGAGGCGGCGGGCGTGCGCACGCCGGAGCCGTGCGCGACGGCGGAGCGCGTGAAGGCGCCGCACGCGGGCATGGCGCCCACGCACGCGCCCGCCGCGTTGCGTGCGACCGTATGCGATAGGGCGGTGTGACGTGTACCCACCCGTGTACAGCGAGGCGGCGGGCGTGCGCACGCCGGAGCCGTGCGCGACGGCGGAGCGCGTGAAGGCGCCGCACGCGGGCATGGCGCCCACGCACGCGCCCGCCGCGTTGCGTGCGACCGTATGCGATAGGGCGGTGTGACGTGTACCCACCCGTGTACAGCGAGGCGGCGGGCGTGCGCACGCCGGAGCCGTGCGCGACGGCGGAGCGCGTGAAGGCGCCGCACGCGGGCATGGCGCCCACGCACGCGCCCGCCGCGTTGCGTGCGACCGTATGCGATAGGGCGGTGTGACGTGTACCCACCCGTGTACAGCGAGGCGGCGGGCGTGCGCACGCCGGAGCCGTGCGCGACGGCGGAGCGCGTGAAGGCGCCGCACGCGGGCATGGCGCCCACGCACGCGCCCGCCGCGTTGCACGCGCCCAACGTCACCATCTCCTGCGACGCCCGCACGGGGCCCGCGCGCGCTGCACACGCGCAATCAAATAAGAAAACAAAAACCTACATTAAAGGAACGCATAATACATAATATACACAGAGAACGACAAATAACAAAAACTTTTAAGAGATCGATCAGGACTCTGCCTCAGCTGATGTTGGCATGACACACGGGAGTGCCACGCCGACGCTGGTACAATAGAAAAAAATATATACAGAAAAAATAACATATGAACAATTATTTTAATTAAATACAAACAAAAAGGAGTAAAAGTTTAAAATTAAAATTAAAAGAAAAATACAAAACATTATAATTATACAAAGACTAAAATAATATGAAAAGCTAAAAAAGCGATCGCCAATTCATTTTTATTTGTTTTTAATTGTTTACTCTTACTTTTGCGGCTCGAAAATGCCACGTGCGACAGTCGACAGCAGAATTTAAGTTATAGTTTAAAATACTTTGTGTTAAACTTGCTCTTAGATGTTATGCTTTGAATAACAAGAGTTTCCAGTCAATATTGCGATTCACAGACGAACCGGAACAGTAGGAATATGTTCAAATTGGTACAGATAATACCGTTTCATGTCATAAGTGGAATGAGTTTCGAAATAACAAAGAAATAGAATAAAATTCACGTAAAATTGATTGATTGTACGTGTCTCAGATATTACAGACTAGCTTTCGCCAGCGGCTTCGCCCGCGTGGACCCTAGGGAAATATATAGTGGGATAAAAATTATCCTATTATCTAAGTCAACTAATACCCTATCTGTATACCAAATTTCATCAAAATCCGTTCAGTAGTTTTGGCGTGATTGACCGACAAACATCTAAATATCCAAACAAAGAAACTTTCACATTTATAATATTAATAATAGGATATCACGTATAGAAAATTAAAAAATGAAATCGATAGAATTTCTTCACTAAATAACGTGAATTCGAATTCGGGTTCAGATTTTTGCAAAATCGCCCGGCTGAAGCCAAAATGGGGTGGTGCTTCCAAAAAATGACACAAATCTTTGTATTACAAAAATTATTCTGATTTTGAAAGAATCAAAGAAAATTTATTTCAGGCGATACAAGTACTACTACTTCATTTGCGAACATCGCCTCGTCTTAGCGAATGAACGTGGACTCAGATTTGCACTCACTGAAGGCTTTCGCTATGGCGATGTTGGCGACCACCATGACCATAGGCAGCAGCAGCACGGACGGCCCCAGCCGGCGCACCATGCCCGTGAACGGCACCGTCACGTTGCCCTCCGTCACGCTGAACGGAGGCAGCGAGATACTCGGCAGGCCGGGCTTCACTCGACCTGACCGCAATCTGCGTTAGATAATATCGCTCCTACGTCGCTCGATTTAAATGTATTAATTGATTCAACAGTACAATGTCAATTTCATAGACAACTAGTTAAAACAACATAATTATTAAGTATAGGTTCTGTTTCTACCATAATGTAGGACGTTGTGTTCGGCTACTCAGTTGATTGATTTACAGCTGTTCAACTGAATGGCACCATTTTCAATTGAAGGGCTAGCCGCCCGTTTGAACTACTGTTTTAACCAGTTTATTGCGACATTAACGTTATCTACAAATTTCAAATATGTATCGTATGGAAATAAATCATATATTAAAACGACTCGGCCGACATAAGTCTCAGTATTGTTATCTGGGACATAATCAGACAGTTGTAGGTACAAGACATGAGACTAACCGGATAGGAGGACGAGCGGTTCTCGGTCGGGCCGATGCGTGCAGTACGCGAATGTGGAGGCGGCCACCACGACCAGAGCGTTGCGACTGATGCACAGCATCCACAGGGCCTTGCGCGCCCCCGCACCGCGCACCGGAATGTCTTTCACTTTCTGACAATCAAAATACTTTATCTCATATACCTATACATACACACATATCCTCCTCAAATTATATTTCAAAAGAGCATTGTTTGTATACTGGTCTTATCTGTCGCACCCAAAATAGCAGGAAGTCACCCTTTGTTTAGCTAATTATGTTATAGCAAAGTAAAGTAAATTTAATTCATTTACTTTACGATGACCAGTGTGACATAAAAAAAGCAATGAACTTTCAGCGTATAGATATAGTATTAATTTGATGGCGTAGAGTGGAGCTCGAAAGAGGCAGTGGTTAAACCGTCCGGCCTGCCTCAGACTTGGCCTGTGCCCCGCAGGGTGGGGGGGTGTATCAGTAAGGGCGCTTGTGCACTACATTGAATTTTCAGGTCCGGCGGACCGATTTTTTCCGGTCCGAAATGACATGAAAAACCCGGATGAGTAGCTTGTGCACTTGTCCTTTTTTCTCCTGATCGGAGCAGCGCAGTTTAGGGCAGCTCTCTTTGAAAATACACGTTACTTACGACGATGAGATTTTTCATCATCATCATCATATCAACCGAGAGACGCCCACTGCTGGGCATAGGCCTCTCCCAAAGATTTCCAACGGGAGGCGCAGGACTCCCGCATCCAGATGAGATTTTTGAAAGTCGGTAATTGCTTGCTTTGTTTCTCTACGTGCAAAGACGTAGAAGACAGAACAAATATTGGATTCATCCCCTTATAAGTGAAAGGTACCTAAATAATGACCTGACAGGATCATTTCACATAAAACATAATAAATTGAGGCAAGACGGAAGCATTTTTTTTACTATTGTAATATGGATGACTACTATCAGATGTAAAAAATATTAATTTAGGAACAGCATTATTCACATATAATAACTTATAATGTTCTAGTACTTGATTTTTAAATTTATAATCGTGCTATTTTTTTTTCGAAGTTTTATAAAAACAATTTCAAGCGATTAGTTATCAAATATTTATTTATACTTATCAATTGTCTAAAAGCAAATTTTGATACTGACAAAATTTCCATGCAAACTTTCATCCCCTATTTCCACCTCTTTTTCGCAATAAAAGGTAGCATATGTCCTTTCTCAAGGTTAAGTCTGTTTCTATATTAATTTCCATTAAGATGGGTTCAGTTGTTAAGGCGTCTAAGAGTAACAACACTTATTTATCTTACTTTAAGTAATCGATACTTTCAATACGATTCTAAAATCTAGCTAAAATCTACGAAAGTAATCGATACTAGAACCATACGCTGATCAAATTAGAACTATACCGAGTTTGCCAAAGCATATGCAGTGATATTTACCAACTATATTAAATCATCATACAAAATAAAGCATTTTATAATCTACAATAAATATCGAGTTTAAGTTTATTGAAAATTAACAATATCGTAGAAATAAATATCGATTTTTCATAAATCGATTATTTTTTCCCAAGCCTACTCCGCAGGCTCATTAATTTTCCGGATCGAGGACACAGCAGTGCACAAGCGTAAACACGTTTTTCACTGCCGCTATCACGGACCTGAAAAGACCGGTCCGGAATAGAGAAAAGTAAAATTCCGAACGGTAAAATTCCTGACAGTGCACAAGCGCGTATTACCTACATATGGCCTGACATAGCGTGACCTGAAAATTGAGTGTAGTCCACAAGCGTTCTAACCCTGAGCGCGAGCAGCGTGGCGCAGCAGAGGGCGGCGAGCGCGCAGTCGGCGGGGCGCGTGCGGTGCGCGTGGGCGGCCAGCTGGCGCGCGTGGTCCAGCGCCGAGGCCGCGCTGAAACTCAGCCCCAGCGCGCCCTTCAGCTGCGACACCACTATGATCACCGCCGTCGCAGACGTGAACCCGCTCGTCACCGATGGCGATATCAAGTCCACTATGAACCCTGCGCACGTATTTTGTAGTTGATCATATGTTGTTATATCATTCATCTTCGCCGTAAAATTTTACCTATACGTTGTCGATTATGATCTTTTATAAGTTCAAAACGTGGAATTTATTTATTGAAAGTCATTGACCAATAGAAACATGGTACAAAAGTCAGGTCTAATTCTAATAGCGTTCTCTCCCAGTCAAAGGACGATAAAAATTAACTAATAAGTAACTAATTTAAAATCGATGTCTATAGTGACAATAAAATTAAACTTATAATAAATATGTTACAAACCAATAATATAAATATACGTCCTTATAAATGCATCTTATATATACAATAAAACATAAACTATCTACATAATATTAAAATATACATTCGAGGATTTCGAATATCTCATGAACAGACTGACACACTTTTGAACAAATTGTCAACATTACGATGTTATTATCGTGCATTGTACGGCACCGTCCAGTGGCACCGTCCAATAAACGTATTATTTCACTAACAAATTTTAGCCACCGGATTAAAACGTTTGTAATTAATTGATATAAGTATCTACTTAATATCCGCTTATCGTACTTCACAAAAATACTTTGAGAAATTTACGTAAAGCTTTCAAGTAAAGAAAAAGTTGAGAAATTATCTGAACCACAACTAGGAATATTCAGCAAACAATCTAGATAAAAATAAATATTCACATAAGATTCTATGAAGTTGTTTATGGTTTATTTTTCAACACTTTCATAGTTGATGAATTAAATACCGTCTATCGGCTAGGATCGTTGTTTAGCTTCGTGCAATCAAGTTTTGAAATATTGCGAGAGGCGGGGAGAGTATCTTGCGACGTATATTATACATAGGACGCCCTCCACTTATGTGGCCTAGCTGTATGTGTGTACGTATAGGAACGCACCCAGTCTCAACAAGCCCATGAGCATGACGACGACCCCGGAGAGGAAGGTGAGCAACACCACGTACTGCAGGCCGAGGCCGCGGCACGCCTGCAGCGTCAACAGCGCCATCAGGCTGGTGGGCCCGATGGATACCTCCTTCACTGTGCCCAGGAACGTGTACAGAATGGCGCCTGCACACATAATCAACACCGTACGACATTATTGCGATCGGGGTCTATGTCTGAGACAAGAAATTAGTAGTGAACGAATCCATCACTCACTACTAATTTCTTCTTTCAGACATGACATAGCTTTTTATTCATATTTCTTAATAAAATATGTTTCTTCCTTAAGTATGTTTATAATTGACTACCTAATCATTATGGTTCATTTGCTTCGAAGAGTGTATGTGGAGCGGGCGATTTCTTTAGCTAATTTCATTGGCTTATAAGCTAATGACTAAAAGAGCAGTAATCGTCCACACTCCAAACGCAAACCCTATCGACCAAAATGTATTTATTTATGTACATGGATGACCAACAGCTAAAAATGACAAAACAAAAATCTTAGCTAAAACAGACAGCAGCAGAAGGAAGAAAGACCGCTTACAATTACTATAATGATATAGACTACGCTGTTTACAGCTAATTTATTTATTTATCAGCTAATTTATTACAAATTTATAACACTAACATCTTTCTAAAAGTAGGTTACCTATAATGCGCCTAGCTGACACTTCGCTAGTGTTAAATGATCGACGTTTATTCGCTTTGATAGTTCATTAAAACTATTGCACGTACGCCACAGAAATTAATTCTGCCGAAATTTAGAAGAAGCTGGGGTAAATATAATATAGGATTGAACTACGTTGTTTATGGAGGGCCTTAAAAGTGGTCTTTGACAGGGTTCAGGACATTCGCAGCACCACAAACAATTTTGACGAGAAAAAACAGACCGGAGATGTCACTTCGATTTTATAAACCGAGTGATGTTTCTTACAAATTTCCTCATAACGACTCAAATTATAGCGTTGTTTGTTAGGAAAGTAAAGATATTTTATGTATTTTATTTGAATTTTCTCTAATCGCGATATGTACGTCTGGTCTCTACGGTTCCAGTGTTTTAGACATCTTTAGAGTTACGCATCACAAATACAAGAGCCCCGGATGTTTTTGAAATAAATTGTCGATATGACTATCAAAAATATGTAACATTATATATTTGAATAATGTTTATTGATTAACTACATACAATATATTAACGCATTGGCATGCTTATTGAAGTAAGACTGTTTTTACCGTATATTGTATGGGATCAACACTGTACCGTATTTTGGATATTTCTTTATTAGTATGTAGGGTGGTTTATCTGACTTCATTTATACGAAGGGTCGGTAAAATGAATAAGCGTTCACAAGTATGAGTTTACATTTAAACTGTTTTGATGTTGAGTGACGACTTACAAATGCATTATTGTTTATATCACAAATGTTACAGATTAAATCGCACAGAGTGGATGACAAAGATTATTAAACAGATGTGCCACAAATTTTAGTCCAGAGGTTCCCAAACAATATTTTCTCGAAGACCATTTAAAAAAAATAACTGGTTTCGGTGGATCCCCTGCTGCTACATTTTTACCATATTCCCAAAATGTGAAGATCTAACGATGAAAATTGAAACCCTATTTTTATTTCACGCCAACGTACACCCCTGTTGAATCCCTCGTGGATCCCTGGGGGTCCACCTGGACCACTTAGGGAATCACTGGTTTAGTATATTCTGAATCACGCGATATTATCTTGCCCCATTCAAGGTTTTTTTGGGATTGAACACAATATACAATCGATAGTAAATTATAAATAGTCAGTAGCTTTACCGTACACTGCGTTTACCTATCAAAGCAAACTCTACTAGAGCTAGAGGCATACGCACCCACGAACGAGGTGTAAAGGCCGACCTGCACTGGCAACTCGGCGAGGGCGGCGTACGCGATGCTCTGCGGCACGAGCGTGAGGCCGAGCGTGACGCCCGCCACCGCGTCCGCTACGGCCGTCAGCCGGTCGTACCGCCGCGCCCACGCCACCACCGGCAGCCGCCGCTCCACGGCCGCCAGCCACCGGCGCCCGCCCTTCTGTCGCGACGCCGACAGCGGCACACCTTCTTCCGTCTCCATCGCCCTACACCTCGGGTCTCTAAGACGCACCTATAACTGCTTTTCGAGTACAGAGATTAGAGTCCGACGCATAATAGGAGTTTTTAAACGTCCCAAGGTGCGCCCGCGCCGATGTTCGAGCGTAGACTGCGACTCCTTTTAATTGGCACGTTATCTTAGGCCCTGGAGGTGGTCGCCCGGTCCTGATAACGGCCGGCGGCGGGTGGCTGTGCAGACGTCGGAAAAACTACTAACGTTTATCGAATGTCTTCGATAATGAACAAACAGGTGAATATCGTTGACGTCATTCGCGTTTTTCTTCTATTATATATACGATTTTATTTAAATAATTTTGGTCTATTTTTGATAATACAAAAAAAAATTGGAGTAAACATTGCGGCGATGATGTAATTAAAAAATTTATGAATACTGGTGTAGCGACAATTCTCGTCTAAAGTGTAAATAACATCAACAACCCGCTACAAATAGATTGTCTTATAATCTTTTATTTTCTTTTATTTGCGCCTTTAAATGTAAATGATAATAACCGATCAAATGCCAGCCGGACTCGAGTAACTATCAATTCATTGGAATATCGAAATTTAATGGTAAGATTAAAAGTAAAACAAATTATATACTATTGCAGTGGATGACTTTAAATAAAACTCAAAAACTCCTTATTTAGATCTGTAATCGATACAGATAGAGGACTGATCAAACAGATAACAACAAACTGCTTATTCGCGACTGGGTGTTAATGGTCCGTATGATGAAATGCAGGAAGCTAACGTTCACACTAATAGCGCAAGTGGATTAAGCTTTGTAATAAATTCTTAATAATTATACAATTATATAAAGGTAAGAGCAGACGGCCACTACGCCATCTATTAAAATAGAGGGTAAGCAATGTATCTGACTGCGATTGTTTTAGTACGTTTATTACAATTTCGAAGATTGGTGCTACAATAGTTAATAATAACATAAAATGCTACCAATTTTTATTAACAGATAACAAACATTAATTAACTATTTGGCGACTTTTAAATTAGCCGTCTTATTGAATGGTCCATAGGTATATCATAATGATCCAACTAGGAAACTAGGCGTGCAATTGAATGGCGGCATTCAATAAATGACTAGCCGCCCAATTAAACGGCTGTTTTTAAGCGACATAAACATCTTTACTCTATGAATCGATTCATATCAAATAAATGTAACGTAAAATGATAAAATACATCATACTGTACCCAATCACTTATCCATAGTGAACGACCACGTTTCGCATCACTGGCAACACACACTGATCGAAGACTTTGGTCTTGAGACACTGTGATAATTTGGACGCGAAGATTATTCGTAGCTAGATTGCTTAAGGTCACCCAACGGACAATGGAGAGAGCAATGCTTGGTATTTCTCTACGTGATCGAATTAGGAATAAGGAGATCTGTAATAGAACTAACGTTACTAACAAAGAATTGGTCAGCCAAAGTGGCAGCAGCCGGGACACAGCGAGAATACCTGATGGCCGTTGGGGTGGAAGAGTTCTCGAATGGCGACTACCTACCGGACGACGCTCAGTGGGTAGGCCTTCCACCAGATGGACCGACGATCTTATAAAAAATGCAGGAAGCCGCTGGATGTGGGCAGCGCGGGACCGATCGTCGTAGAGATCTATGGGGGAGGCCTGTGCTCAGCAGTGGGCGTCTTAGGACTGATGATGATGATGATAATATCCATTACCAAGTAGATAATTTTTAATATTAATCTTAAATTTAGGCAATGGTAAACTTAAAATTTCTATAGCAATTTTGTTACAGTACTTTGCCCCATAAATATTGCGAGAACTTTCTTTAGCCTGCATGACGGTAAAACAAGTTTAGCTTTATTATACCTATTTGACCAATTTTGCATTATTATTTCATTGAATTTATCTCTTAAGTGATGTTCTTGAACCCTTCTTGAAAAAGAAAGCTCTAAAAAGAACCTCACTAGATGGCGACTCTACCAAAAATTGGTATTTCCAGGAAACGAATGGACCAAAGACAGTTATTTCTGTTTATTTTAACTCACGTATTAAAAACCTGAAATTTGCAAAGTTCGAAAATGCTCTGTAAAAGCCAAAACTGAATAAACAATTTTAAAAAAATATACGAAAAGGTACAAATAGATATATATATTTTGAAAAATTAATTTACTTTTATACATGAAAGAAAACCGGAAGGGTTGTCATGGAGATATCAAGAAAGTACTGTAGCGACATCTAGTTTGTTTTCGGGAACTAATTTTTTTTTAATACTTCCTCATTTATAAGCATCTCTTACTGCTTTTTTGTAAAATAAATACAGAAGCTACATATGCAGCTATAACCAACAACAGAATATCGTACGACATAACGCTATGTAAATAACTAATGTATACTGTCCTGGCAGTATCTACTTCTGTGAGTTGTCTGATTTATCGTATCACATAGGCAACTGAACTAAGTTTTTCGATCAATAACAAAACGTGAGGATGCCATTGCTACATATTTAAAATACACCCAAGAAGATTGTTGAATTAACAAACTAGAGTTTTTTATTTAATCGTTAAGTTTAATTTCTGTTTTATCTGCTTTTACATAAGGTAACTAAACTTTATACATTTCTTTTTTTAGCATTTCGTTGGAGATTATTTACAATAAACTAGCTCATAATCTGAGAGTCAAATTGTGAATTTCTCGCAATAATTTTCTCTGTTTCCTCTTCACTCTCCACGCGTTCTCGGAGCAGCTGACCACAAGTTGCTTAAGACCACTTCAGTTCTAAGGGTTGCCTTAATTTGAATTCAGTGATTTGTACTGTAGCTTTGCGGGTCATCATTTTTGATTGGGGAAATATTATATTAATTTCTCTGCAGATAAAGTTTAACTTCGTTTGTAGACTTGCAAGCACCTGTTACTGTAACTGATCCTATCGCTCCATACAAGAAAGTCGTTTGCCAATTCTCAAATAGCATTTTAAGATGTTGACGTCTAACGCTTGCTTTAGTTACACAATTCCAATGAGGAAGTATTTAAAACAAAATATATAATTCCCGAAATCAAACAAGATGTCGTTACGGCACTCACTTTCTTGATTTCTCCATGATAACCCTTCCGGTTTTCTTTCATGTATGAAAGTAAATTAGTTCTCAAGACTCAATAAACAACGTATATTCTATTTGTACGTTTTCGTATTGATATCTGTGTTGTGAACTTTCCAAATTTCAGTTTTTTAATATGTTAGTTAAAAGGAACGGAAATGATTATCTTTGGTCCATTCGTTTCCTGGAACAACTTTTGCTAGAGTCGCCGTCTAGTTGAGGTGCTTTTTTAGTTCTTTCTTTTTTTTAAATACTTTCTCATTAACGTTTAATTAACGATATCGTCTATTCAATATCTTTATAAAAACGTCTTATAGTTGTAACGTGAAGTTCATGAATATCTTTTAAATGTCAAATTAAAAAGGATGCGATATTTATAAATAGTGATAATTGTTAATTGCAAATAAACCATGCAACTCAGACTTATACATCAAAATAAAAAAAGCTTATTATTTGTCATAACTTTATTGAATAACATTCATCCACTTTTTAATAATACATAAAACATAATGTAAATGCACCACAGTCACCATACGCGTTAGTGCTAGCAACTGACCGTGTAATAATTTAAAATACATAACAATATAATACAGTTCAACGAGTACATAAATATCATAAATAAATATAACATTATTATTATACAACTGTACGGACAAGCTCTAATGCTTTAGCTAAGCTCAGGTACTTATACTAAATCTCACAACTTACACCAATAAATTATAATAACTAATTCTCTATGTACACGAGTATACATACCCCACCTCCCACCCTATCCCCTCCCCGCCCCGCCCAGGTCCACTATACAATAGTGTATTATTTATTTATACTCATCAGAACAAAAATTTCATCTGGAAAGGTTTAAGATTATTCTAATTATACAATGTCAACGTTGGATAAAATAGCATAATTATAAATAGAGTAAATTATCTGTATGTAAAAATAAAAGTAATACAAAAACAATGCTATTAATTGTGTCGTGGAAGCTTATCTTCGCGGTTCGTTAATTGAATGTAGAGGTCGTCGAAGATATAGACGGACAGTCACACCCTCATTATGATCTACAGCTATCGAATTTAATTGTCTCGAGTATTTTTAATACATATTATGTTTACATTCACTAACGTGCAAGAGTCGTGGAATCTAAACGAAATATAATCTTTATTTACTTTCATCAAATACAAAGATTTATCAAAATCAAGATATAATTATATTTGTACATTCAACATAACAGTGTGATAGTGCGGTGACAAGGAAAAATCTAAAAGAAAAGTTTTAAGGCGTGTGTATATTAGCTTACATTAGTCGGAAGTGACTTGTGTGTGTCATTTAAGTGACGGGGTGTATGTGTGTGTGTGTGTGTGATGTGACGTCATCGCGGGGCGCTACTTGACTCGCTTCATGATGAGGTCTATCTGCTCGTCGACTCGCGGGCTCATACCCCTGCCGGATAACAATATCAGTGGCGCCAACATTTATATACAATTAATCACATATAACGATTCATAGCAATTAATTTCATCGAATAGATTAAAAATAACAGGAAAGTATTGTCTTCAATAAAAATATATAGCATATATTTAGTGAATGAAATATTTCAACTATAAATAATTCGAAGAGTTTTATAGACGCGAGAGATATAATAAAAGACCATATTATTTGAAGGGCAGAAACATTTGAATTTTACTTCATACTGGTTCTATCCAAAGTATTGAGTAATTGTTTATTCATGGAGTATGTACCTGTAGAGGGACGGCTCGGGCCCCACCATGGCCACGAGGGCGGGCACGTCGTGCGAGTACGCGGCGAGGCGCGCGAGGGCGCTGCACGCGCGGAACACGCGCTACTAGGGGGGGGCGTACCTGTAGAGGGACGGCTCGGGCCCCACCATGGCCACGAGGGCGGGCACGTCGTGCGAGTGCGCGGCGAGGCGCGCGAGGGCGCTGCACGCGCGGAACACGCGCTACTAGGGGGGGGCGTACCTGTAGAGGGACGGCTCGGGCCCCACCATGGCCACGAGGGCGGGCACGTCGTGCGAGTGCGCGGCGAGGCGCGCGAGGGCGCTGCACGCGCGGAACACGTGCTCCTCCCCGGGCGACTCCTGCAGCAGCTGCAGCAGCGCCATCGTCAGCTCCACGCACACCTCGTCGAACACCTGCCGACCACAACGTAGCCCAGTCCCTGCGCGCCTTCACATACCACATACCACACACCACACACCACACACCGCGGGTACGCGGTGACGGAGGATTTAACAAATATATTTATTCATCAACGAGATGTGAGATCAGACTATAGGTATCATGCAGTCTATTATTATATCTGTAACCCCGACATGTAGAGTTAGGTGTTTTTTTTATTATTTAACAACTTTTTCCGACTCTTTATTAAGAGCTATAAATTGCGTGAAATAGATTTGTTTACTAACGTCACCGCCGTACCCACGCTGTGTGAAATGGTCACAATCTAAGCTAGCTCAAAAATGGTCCCTATGACAATCGAAATTTCATACTTGGATCTTGCGGATGAAAAGGACAATATTACATCTCGCCCTGACCATGCCACGGTAAGGAATCTGTTAAGTTATTCTATTCTGCATGGTCAGAGTTGTACCTGCCGATGGGCGGCGTCGATTACGACCTGGGACCGGCGAACCGATTTGAACGTCACGCCCTCGTGTTGTAACTTTGGGCAGTCACATGCCAACAGGCATTCTGTATGATTTCAGAGTGTGGAACTTTAGACAGTTCCTATCGCGCAGAAATCGCGCAGAACCATATCACTCCGATTAACGACTTCTCCGAGAGTAGAAACTGTTAGTTGGAGTTCAGTTTGTAGCCAGGTCAATGTCTAAACGAAATCGAACACGATTGTGTTTAGACATTGACCTGGAAGGAAAAAATTGAACAAGGAAGACACGCTATGCCGTTGGCCGCGGCTGCATTTCTTTTAATTCAATTTTGTATAACTTCAGTGTTATTCAAATTATACTCGTATATTGTTTACTATGTAGTAAACGAGGCTGAGCTGATTCTCTTAAGCGATAGTCTCTTATTTCGCCGGTGTAAGAAGTCTACACCAAAAAAAAAAAACATTCGAATGATATCAACAACGCGGGTCACAAAACAGAATGCGTGCAAATAAAAACCGAATCTCCCGCAAATACAACGACCGGCGCAGTTACACATTACACACTCGTCGCTCTATCAGTACTCGTGCCATGAACGCGCCCGACATGTTTGACTAGCACACTGTCACATATTGTTTGTTTGTTTTCGGATCACATCGCTTCCCATATAGCATTTCGTACTATGTTCAATAAACGAAATTTCTTCCATATCCTCTCACTAATCTTGTACATTATTAACAATAGGCTATTCTACTACGTCTGAAATTTTCTTACCATTTTACTACCCTGACAACGCTGCCCGCCATTTTCATGACATACCGATATGTAAACAACACGGACGCATCGGGTATATTATTAAAAAATCAATCAAACAATAACAGCGTCATATAAGGATCTGCTTACAAACAATAAATAAAATCGATAGCCGTTTACGATTGATCTGACTGAAGTACAGATTAAAAAACTAGACATTTATACCCTTTCTATATTCGAGAGAAGTAATTACTTGAAAATGATATATTTAAGAAAATATTTTTAAACAATAGGCGAGTTTAAATGTAGAGTAAGACAATAGCTAATAATAATAGTATTATATTAACCAGTTTATTCGATCAAATTCTTGCTTATTTGGTAAAAATATCTGCTTAAGTCATGACATATTCTCAAGTAAAATTGCTTCACTCAACTATAGCATAAATTCGAAGATAAAATTCAGTTTAATAAGATAATCATGTGACTTTATAGCTAAAATTAGAATAGCAACGTGTAATTCTATTAAAACAGTTATTTAGTCGAATAGCTAGTTTCGGTAATAAAGAAAAAGTCACGAAATTGCACAAAAAATAAATTTACATTTTAATAAACATAGAGACTTTTATATTGGGTTATGATTATCTTAATATCTTAAAAGTTGAAATTTTTTGTGTGTCACGTAACTAAAAACACAACCCGCTATTGTTTGACGCCACTTTGGCCACAGCTATCAGATTAGTCGTAAAAGCCTACGGGGGCGGTCCACCATATGGGAAGAGGCTAATATTCACATAACTCTTTTCTTTCCCGCAGAGGGCGACTCCTTTCCACCCTCCGCGAGAGGAGTCCCAGCGCGACGAAAGAAACAGGGCCCTTATTGCTGCATACTGGTTTCTACCTAACCGCGTGAGGTGAATTGTAGCGGATTTCACCAGGCATGCCTTCCACATTATAAAAAAAAAGATTAGTCGTAAACAACGCCTATTTACTATACAGCAAATCCCTAGATGGCACTGTTCGCAACTTATTTTTAACTTTTTATTTTGTAATGAATAGTTAGATGGCACTGTTCTTGTTTTATTGACATATTTCCATCCACTACTCTGTCCACCTGTTTTGTTTACATATCCGAATGACGTCACGAATATGTCGGACAGCGTTTTGCGGGTATAGAGTAAGTTAAATTTTTTATTGATTTCTTATATTTTTATGTGCACTACATAAATAAAACAACTTTTAAACATTCAATGATATAAATTTAAACGTTTCAATTTTTTTTTTTTGTATTGTGAATGTATTGGTTTTTGAAGGTAGCTATACTCTTAACTAAAAAGACAAGCAACACCTTAGTCTTATGTGAATACGGAACCTGAAAAGGGTGCGAAAAATGCAAACGCGATGAAACAGTTATAAGTTGTTTCATTTTTAAATTTTTATTTAATTTTAAGGCAATGTAATGCATTTATTTCTTCGAAATATTTGTTATATGGCTTATTTAAATTAAATACTTAGAATTACAAACAAAATAGATTACCATATTACATGACTTATTTTAAAAAGTAGAAAGTGATTTAAAACGCCTACCCCGTTAAGAATTCGGCGATAGATAATATTTTCATTAATTACGTTTCAATATAATAATAACGAGTTCTGCCGTTATCGATAACGTAATTCAGCTAACAGTGACGACAACACGCACTAAACATATTTACACGTAAACGAGGTGATTTATTGCTGTCTCGTTTAAATAGAACTGGATGTGTTTCACAATCACAGAACGCTCGCTCGTATGTGTATCTAAGTAAGATTACTGATTTATAAACACAGAAACCGTACGCGGAAATATCATTACATTACATCGTGGTGCTTTTCCACTGTTATCGTTCAACGCGATTCACCACATTCAGGGGGACTCCAGCGGTCATCGATCATTATCACCGAGGCGAATGTAACAAAAATTACAAATATAGCAAAAACTCAACGAAGCAGATCTTCTTCAAATAGTTTTAGGTTTACTTTTAAGCTCTAATATTTTTAAAAGTAATTTATTTTAATTTTTCAACCGCAAAACTTACCGAACGAAAAAAACTAACTCATTTTTTAAGTCTATCATACGATAACTCTAATACCAAACGATTGTGAAAAGTATAATGAAATTAAATTCTCCTACTTTTAAATCGATATCCGCTAGGAAACTTATTTTACTCAGAGAGTGGGGCATTATCGGTCGCACCTTGCACTTGGCGGTACTCGGCAGCCGCGGCCGCAGCGCGCGCGCCGCCGACAACCGCTGCAACACACAAAACGGTCTGCAGGCCCCCACCGCCCCCTCCACCCCCCACCACCCCATTACACAACATCCGACCCTGCTATTGCGCCTAACGACTATAAACATTCAAACTAGACCTGTCCGAAAGTTCTCTGTTTTTTCGCCGAAAACTGTTTGACCGATTACCGCTTGCCGTCTGCCGATTCATAGAATTTTATTTCGCCGAATGTTGGCAAGTGATATCGGCCAGACAGTTTTCGCCGAAAATGCACGATCCGCAACCAAAACTGGACACTTTAATTTAGTGAAATAATTCTGCACTAGTTGTTGATTAGCTTAAAAAAATAAAAAAGTACAAAAGGACTTTGTACATTGAAATAAAAGGTAAAGGTAATTTTTAAATTGAGGGTCCACTGTAAAATACGTAAATATACATATATTATTTCACTGAGGGAACAGGATCGAACGTTGTGGAGTAAGAAATATATAGATATGTAACAGTATACGATGTGTTATAAATACGTGTGACACGAATAAATAAAATGTTAGTGCATGCTATTAGCGTATGACGATGAATATTGTAAATCATAATAGTGATACCGCTCGTAGACCCAGGATCGACTAATACACGACACGTGAAGCCCCCCCGAAGGTTATCCTACGCCGTTATCGAATCGGAACTATATTTGCTCGGTTAATCAGCCCTCCACACGATCGTGATCCCCTAGATCCCCACTTCCGTTAGATAAACCTTTCAAATGTATATCGTAAGAAACGTAATACGACGAGCGAACTGTCGGTTGCTGTAAAACTAAACAATTTACTATGATGATTTTTCGACTTAACTTTCAATAGATTAAAGCTAAAAATCGATAAGAGACATTGCGTTGTAAGTAACCTGTCCTTAGATTCTGAAAAAATCTAAACCCGAATTCGAATTCACTCAGGTGTCTGAATACACTCCAAAAGCGGCATCCGCTCAACCTTGAATTGGTTATGTTTAGTGGCATAACTGAAGTGAGTTTCGAATTCAAAGTCAAAGTCAAAATAATCTTTATTCAAAAAGACTTTTTAAAAGTACTTTTGAATCGTCCAAAATTATTTTTTTTGAAGTGAGATAGGTATATAATGTCTGAGACACGTGTGAATTTATGTATTTCGATTTGTATTTTTATCCAAAAATGGAATCAACAGAATTCGAATTTGGATCCGGATTTTTACAGAATCGCTCTGCTGACATGCTGTCGACTGTACAGCTATGTGTACATTGTAAATAGGCACATGGTGCAACTGCGACGTGTTCTAACTCCGAAATCGGATTTAACTTTAACTTGCATCGTAACGAATAAGTAGGTAAACAACTGCCTTTGCCGATGTTATGAAACAGTGTTTAAATACAAAATATTTATATTTTCATATTCAATGTGAGAGACCAGTGGCTGTCAACATGTCTAATGTATGATAAGCGTTTCCGCATCTCACACCGTGACAGGTTCATCCAGATATTTACTTAGTTTGAAAATATATATCTGATTATTTTATATCTGTATTGTGACATTAAAGTCGTTTAGCAGTACACTTTAAAGTAAACTAAAAGACTATAAAACTAGTATAAAAGATCGTATATTATTCAAATACGTGATATCCGTAGGTATAGGCGATGGTAGGAAAATTATGAAAAATATGATAATTTATCAGCTACCTACTATTTAAAGGTCCACATTCCGCATTAGAATCAAAAACTGATCTGTTATAGATAAGAACAATGTTCAAATGCGTATTAATCTCAGAAAGTTAATGTATCAACATCTACACCCTAACGTTAGTTTATTTATAAAATGTACTTTAGCGAAAACACGAGTTAGTCGCGAAGAACAAGGAAAAATATACGTATTCGGTCGCCTCGCAGACCATCGGACCCATCAAGCTTCGCTTGCGACTCAGTAATACGTTCACGCGTAAACAGTGTAAAAAACGGTCCGTCTACTACGCCGACGATCGTTAAATATCAGGAACGATAGAAGCGTTAGACGTACATATATAGAATCAGTTATAACAAAACCGCTCAAAAAATTCAACACCATCCGGTACCCCGAGGTGGCATTCAAAACCGCAAAGTTTAGCGTCCGAACCGGGACTGGTGAAACTTTTAAACCGTTTTCTTTAAGATGAATATTAATGCAAAAATTGATGAAATATGATGAATACATGACGTGGCGCCGGGAGGTTAGTGGAGGTATGATGTGGTGATATAGTGATATAGTAATCCGGCGGATACAGACCACGGTCTTTACCTCCTTGGTGGCGACGTTGTACATGAGCGCGGTGCCCGTCTCCCGCAGCCGCGCGTCCTCCGCCAGGCACGCGTGCACGCACACCTGCACACGTGCACGTGCACGTACACGTACACGCACAACTTTATAATTGAATCGCTCTTTTTTCCTACGATATAATATCGTGAATGGATCATCTACTTTTAAAAATTAATAGAGGTATATCGACAAAAATCGGTCCTCGAAATCATAAAATTAAAGTTTTCATAAAATTTGGAGCAGAGTGAGGTCTATTTGATGGCACTCTTCAAATGTAGGCTTTAATTTACACATTATATTTTAAATCAAAACTATGCGGCCGGGACGAGACTTCGTCAGCACGCCCTTCCTTTTAGTCTCTCCAGTGGTTGTTGAATTTATCATCACGAATTGAAAACCGTATAGTATACCTTAGTGGTGACACGTATGTTGGAGAGCGTCTGTCCGTTCGCCTCCCACTCGCTGATGTACAATAACCACTCCGACGACGACACGTTTTCGAACAAATTGCATATCTGAAACGAATCATACGCTGTATCGCAAATTGATAAATCGTCATCTATGTTATTCCTGTGGTCTGGTCAGGGTGTGTAGTGTAGTGCAGTGTAGTGCAGTGCAGTGTAGTGCAGTGCAGTTACCACGAGCGCGATGGCCTGCTGCTCGGGCAGCGGGCGCGTGTCGATGCGGTGCGCGTAGGAGAGCAGCGCGTGGTGGCGGCGGTCCTGGTGCAGCAGCAGCGACACGTCCTCCCGCAGCGCGCACGCCGCGAGGCAGCGCAGCGCACTCACGCGCACCTGTTCACTCATACTGGGCTCGTTCAGCAACCGACCTGCGACCGTCCACGCATGCTAGCTGTTATTTCATCCAAAACACGCAGTCTAGCCTCGAAGTAGGGGCACCTCCGGTGGCTACGTACCGATGAAGCCTAGGAACTCGTCCCCGAGCACCCAGCTGCCCTCGCCGGCCACCAGGTACTGCTGCAGCTCGTCCAGGCTCTGCCTCTCCTCCTCGGACAGCTCGACTCCTTCTAAAGTCTTCGCCAAATTTTCGTACTCTTGAGCACCCTGGGACGGATACATTACTTCGGTGATTACTTCAGTTGTTAATTTTAAAGTTCTCTTTGTTGTCACGTTAATTATTAATAAAAGGAAGTATGCTTTAGTTTCAGTAAGATAAGCTACCATATCTTCGGAATTTTCGATATTCAAGGGGTGTTTGAAACCATAATCATTAATATCTGAAAAGAATTGGCGAAACAAACTCCGACAAGAAAAAGTGAATTGTTCCCTTTAATATTTACAGAATGAACTAACTGTATCCTTTGGTTTTGCAATGTGTGCTCTGGGTTGCGATTTTATTCGACTAATTATTGGATCCGAAGTCGATCGTGTATTCCAACCTTTATTTCTATTAAAAACTATTAACATTCGATCGCCGATTTAAGTCACTTTCAGGGAACGCATATTTTTGCTTTAAACAGTTTTGTTGTAAATAGATATTCAAAATACATATAAAACACCCACACCAATGCAAACCTATGTGCTGCCTTAGAACATCGAATATTTGACTATATATTTGTGAATGTTTGCAATGTTGCCGCGTGGGTTGGCTCAAAAACAAAACTCGTTTATTTTATTAAAATACTTTGATTATCAATTATAGACGATGTAAAATGACATTTACAACCCGAAAATGTGATATTCCAACAGATACATTTTTATTCGGATAGTTATATTTGCATTTTTAATATGTTATGTAGCATCGTAATACGTCCGAACGTTGGCGCCGTCGCAAACATACTTAAACAAAATAAGACCAAATAAAAGCAAAAAATAAATTAATTAAAAGCAAAAAACCTTTCATTACAATTTATATGATTATTGAAGCTTGTTGCGAGATTTCCTTGTGTAAATAAACTAGTACCCATTCAATTATTCATAATGAACTCAATAACATATAATTAATAATTATATTTAAAATATTAATGAATTTTAAAATAATTTATTGTTCGATTCCTGCTAATCCAAAATTAGTTTAATGGGTCAAAGCCATCAGCAGTTTCCGTCCCAAGCAAATATATTGCACAGTTTTGTGCAATATCGCCCCGGCATACGTGTGGCCATTTTTCTTGTGATTTCGAATGAAATAAATTTATTCCATTTATTAGTTGATATAAAATTATCATTCATTCATTAGGTATTTATTGAAACAGAACCAAAACTAATCCTTCGAAAAGCTGTACGAATATTCACTTAATGAAATCTTCAAAACAACCGTTTTAGTGTAACGGCAACGCACACGCATGGCGCTGTAAATAGCACAACCGCCCTACTGACTTCAAAATAAATATACCTACGCCGCGAACAACAACCTGACGCGCCACGAATGTGTCGCATTCCGTTCACATAGGTGCCACGTTCATTTGCGCCATTTTGAATGGTATCTCTTTAAATGGAAAGGAACTCCATAAAATCACCAATCCACTATTTAATTAATAATCCAAGTTTTGAATAGTCAGCTGAACGATAGTATTATAATATCTGTAGCTGAACGTTCAGCCAACAGCATAACTCATATGTTAATCAATTTGAATTTACAATGATTTGAGAATTATCAAATAAAAATATTTTGAAGGCTCTATCCCATGAACAATTTGCCTCTATTATTGACCTGCTGCTTTCGATTCCTCTTCTTTATTTATGTTTAACCTTATGAAGTCCATCCAAACATTTCGTATAATTTGAATTCGATGTAAAGAGTACACGTCCAGAGTGTTGCACATGTTTATAATTAGAGACGCAGGCGCGTGGGGGACGCTCCGCTGGAACTGACCGAATACATGAGTCAGGCGTCGCGGTGGTATGAGTACACTTGGAGAAATAACCAAATAAACCAATTAAGAAACTGCTAAATATAATGTCATCAAAAACATAACATACACGAAAATGTACAAGTGTTGCAACGCATTTCTACAGTAAAAAGCTGTGTATTCAATGTAAACCAAGTCGATTGATTCAGTACCCAACTCTCTGTGGGAGCAGTTATCCAAGATATTGTTGTATACATTGAGAAATACTTGGCAAAATAGTCCGTTTATCACAGAGCTTTGATTACTCTTTAATAAATTGTTTTCCTTGCTAAGCAACATACATTACATGTTGGTAGTTTACGTATACGAAACCAGAAAAACTAAAAAACGGAAGTATTCCTTCAGTCTTTCTTTACTTTGTAAGCTAAATAATACTTGAGTCTGTGAGTCTGCTAGAAGTAAGAATTTTCATGATCGGTGGGTCAGTGTGAGCGACGTGCGAGCGACAGTGTGTGAACTAAGGAATTTTATTAGGACTTGCAATAATGCTCTCTTCTACAAACTACGTCACTGAAATTTAGACTCTACAATAAAGTTAACATTATGATACAAAAAATAAGTAGTGTCCATAAATTTAAACATAAGAGATAAAAATAAACTTGCCGTTCCAAGCTTCAGACTTCAATAAACAAGACGATCATATCTGGGCATTGCGAGTTCAATAAAGTTCCACAAAATTTAATTGACCTACTTGTAAATAAATTTCAAAATCATGTTAGGAACACACTACACTTATGAGTGGAAGCTATTATAAAGATGATAATTATTTTACGAGTATGCGTATGCATGGAATGAATAGCTTTGTTCTACACTAATTTATTATATGGACCTGTGCTATTTCCTACAGACATTGATAATAGTTTTTATTAATATTGTAATACGTATTTTTGTAATGACGTAATTTATGTAAATGTCATTACTTCTAATAAAGAGCTGATAATTTTCATTCACTTGTTTTTCTTGTCAGCCAAAAGTCATCCTGAACGAGTGGTAGGGACAAACTTTTGGACGTTTCAAAAGTGCTTGTAAGAAGCTTATTTGAATGAAAGCTTTTTTCATTTCATATCTTTTCAGTTACAGAGTCACGGTAAGGGAAAATGGGTCGAATGGTTTCCAGAAAAAGATGATACGGCCGTGACTTGGCAGATTATAAACACAATAAAAACTCGATTGTCCGGACTCGGATGCATGGATTCGCGACTGTCCGGAGTTTAAACTATGGCATGGTGAGCTTACCACGATTAAATTGAATTCATGTTGCAGCAGCAATAAAAAGAAAAAAACTATCATGAACGAGTCGGCGTCGCGCACCGAGAGCTCCGTGCAAACATTATATTCTAGAAACTATGTACAAGATTTCTTATTTATGGATCAATCCGAGTTTAATCGTGTCTTCAATATACACGCAACGTGCAAAAACAACAGTGAATATATACATATAATGTCCTAACAGTATATCGGTGGCGGCGCGGGTGGGTGAGATGCATGCATCATATGCGTATATGCGGCGAGACTTGCCGACGTCGATCGACACACGTGGGCATACGTTTCCGCGCCCATAAACAAATCTATGACATTTGCCCGCAAAATAGAAGCTAGTAATAAATAAATGTCTATGCATGTTTATTTCGTCATGATTAGAACGACCACGCTGCACCCACTACTATCTAGGATTGCCAAGTGTTCAGTAATAAATTGTGCTGTATTTTAGTGTTTGTCTATCCAGTATACACTCACTGAAAACTTATTATACCTATTCATGCTCTTATTGCATAAGTATTCATAAGCAGTTTTGATGATATACTAAAGCTTGCCTTAATCAGTATTTTGGTTAAGCTTCAGCATACTTATGAAATGCTACACAGATCTTCCAGGTCATTGTATTCCTAGAATAAATATACAATTTCAAACATTCATATTCATACTAATATTATAAATTCAATATGAAAACTGTATGCGTTTTTAATTTAGGAACAAAATCAATAGTAATCACGTTTAACATGAAGACAATTTGAAAAAAATAGTGAAAAGAGGAAGAAGTTTAGAATAAGCAGTCTCGCCTGTAGGCGCTCGAGACAATAACTGCAGGTTTTTATATTACACAAATACTGATACTTATTCAATACCCTTTATTATATCTCTTTATCCTGTCCTGCGTGGTAATTATGTAAGATCGTCCGTATCCTAACAAAAAAAAGAAAATTATGAATATATGATGATCCAGTTTCCAGAAAACATTACGATTCCTTCACAAAAAAAAAGTAGCGTTCATAATCTTAACACGAGAAATAAAAATATATTTGCCGTTCCAAGCTTCAGACTTCAGAAAACCAGAGGATCATTTCTGGGTAAATGCATTGCTATGTTCAACAAATTTCCACAAAGTGTAGTTGACCTACCCATAAATAAGTTTAAAATTCATGTAAAGAACATACTTATGAGTAAAGGCTATTATAAAGTTGATAATTATTTTAAGGATCGCAATTTGTTCTATAAAGACTAGTTATATGTTCAACCTATGTCCTACAGACTTTGAAAGTTGTATTTATTATTGTGATAATACATATTATTTTGGTAATGACATGATTTATGTAAATGTCATTACATATGATAAAGAGCTGGTAAGTTTCTTTCGCTTGTTCTTCTTGTCAGCTAAAAGATGTCCTGAACAAGTGGTAGGGGAAAAAAAATTTTTGGACGATTCAAAAGTGCTTGTAATAGCCCACTTGAATAAAGATATTTTCATTTCATTTCATTGGAACATTGATATTATAGTGCTATGACGTCAGACAAACGAGTTACTGTTGTTTTCTACTGTCATGAAATAGATGCCGGCAGACAATTGTAATGAAATGAAATGAAAATGTCTTTATACAAGTAAGTTATTAGTTTAATATCTACCCGAGTACCGTAACAATATGATTGAAGTTCAAACAGCATCGTATTAGAAGGGTAATCACGAACAGATGCTGCTGTAGTTTATTTTGGAATTGTACAAAATATTTGAAATTCTCACAATATTCATTTGATGTATCATGAAAAGTTTCACAGACTATATTGTGTGGTGTGCCACAAACTTTTTTCAATTTTCATTAATTTACACTCCGATAGAAGCCTCACTATTCGAAATTCATTTATTACATTGAACGACCTTTAAGTCTTCAATTTATATATGTTTACCAAATTTGAACTCAGTCGTCCAATAATTTTGGAGAATATCAGCTGTGGTAGACAACAGATCTTTTATAAGTGATCCGTTTAATAAATAAAAAGTCTCAACTTAGCAAAGTGATGTGTAATAGGTATAGCTTACATCAATATCTCTGAACACGATGGGTGGGTCACGAGGCTTGGCCCGCGGCTCGTCCAGGTCCAGCGTGTCCGCGGACGCGGTGGAGGGGCCCGCGCGGGACACCTCCTCCTCACGCGGCAGGGCTTCCACTGCTTCCGCCATCTCGTCTACTGCACACAACACCACACCGCTGTCATACAGGTATACGGACACAGGACAGGGACAGGTACGCAAACACGAAACAACTGATCGGCCTACGATTGAACAATAAACACGGCAACATTAATCGGTTTCTATGTCATCTCAAATCGCCGTGTTATAATTTAAACGAGTAGAGTGAATTTATTTGCAATATAAATGCTCATAAATAAATAATGGGCTCGATTATGTGTAATAAAATCTGGGAACATGATGTCTGGTCGACGATGACGCCCATCGGCGGTACAGTTTTAAACTCGACGCGATTTATTTAAAGAAACAATCCGTTCGATACGATAATAAACTTTGATCTTTACTTTGCATAGAGCAAATCGTAACTGAAGAAATGCGAGAACGAATCCGGTATAATAAATCAGTATTCACCGAGTATACTTTAGGATTTCTCCGTTTTAATCGGGAGATATTAACTATTTCAAAACAACTACACCGACCGACCTTTCAATCTGACAAATAATCACAAACAGGGAGCTGCGAACGATTAACACGAGAACAAAACTAGTGAGCGAGAAGGCGAGCGTTCCAGCACTGTGTTTATACCCGCGGCGCGGCACCTCGCACGACAGACGGATCAGGTTGCGCGCACTTCACTGCACTCCCGAGGGACGCACGGACGGAAATAGCGCGACCAGTGTCGAGCGGGGGCCGAGGGGCGCCCACTGCTGAGGCGAGGCTCTGATGTGGTGGTGCAGGCTGAGCCTTAGTACAAAGGGTGAAGTGGAGGGCAGCGGGCGGGCGGGGCGGTCGGGGGTCGCGCGCGGAATGCCGCCGCCGCAGCCGCCGCCGCCTGGCGCAGAGCCAGCCCGGCTCGGGTTCACGTATTTATAATCAGCACGCCCGCCTCCACTGGAGAACACTCCATCCTTTGATACGCATCCTCGAGTCGCTCGGTTTCGATCTAGAGATCCTCCGCGTCGAGGCGAGGTTCTAAGATGCCTATTTCGATCCGCGAGGATTTTTTGAGTCGGAGTAATTGAACTTTTTTTAGATTACGTCCCGAGCCAAAGAGGTCGAGGACCCATCCCGCACTCGAGCACGTCCAGGTTCATCGCACCGGCGGCGATGATAGACGATATGGAAGAGTTCCAACTGTTCGTCGCTCTGGTCTAGGTTCATTCCTTTATTATTAAGATTTCGCACAGAGAAATGAAATGAACAGACACGTTTTCGATTAACCGTTCGTTCGTAGGAAACAGTTAAACTTTATGTACTCTTGAGTACACTTGTATGAGTAGTAACCTGAATAGGTACCACTGTAAATACATTATTATAAATAAATACTTTTGAAGCGTAAATAAAAAGAGCTTTATTTTTTTTTGCATGGGTACTGACATTGGCATATTGAATAATCTCATTTGAGAGGTCAATGCCAAGGAAATACAGAACCCTTATAAAACCAGTTTGTCAGTCTATCATCGATTGAATTGAAAATTTGGTACACATATTATGTAGGTTAGGGAAGAAGTTTTATCGCATATAGTATGCATAAATTTGTAATAAAATATTTCTGGCTATACCATTTGAATTTGCCTGGTTTCTGTATCAATAAAAAGTATGAATTATAAGAAAGATAACTCGGATTTAAAATAAGAAAATGCATGATTTTTATTTGTTTTTCTTACTGTCAAAATAAGTGAATTTAATGAATAGTTTTGAGACATTTTAAAATTTCATTACAAGAAAACGTAAAAATACAACGGAATAAAGGAATGAAATTTTTTTTTTAAGGTTTATGGACCTAGTGCAATTTCTGTGAGAGTAGAATAATGAAGGTTCAGTTCTGACCTTACAACACCGAGATAAGCAACCATCGTGTATAGTGAAGTAATATATTACATAAAATAGTATTTTTTTGCTGATTATAAATAACTATAATATATTATACTACCTTTAAATTCTTATAAACTACCTTTCATAAAAATTGTTATTGAGAAACTAAATAAAAATATGATTAAAGAAAATTGACTTCTAATATTTTATACCAGAATGCGACCATTAGAAACGAACGTATAAAAAACCTGTCCGAAACATAATCAAATATATTAAAAAAAGTTGATGGTCAAAACGGAACTCTTTGCTAATGACGTTTGTCTGATGGCTGTCAAGCTATTGAGTAGGTGTTTGTAGTTTGTTTTATCCACACTGCCAAATCTTGAGTAGGTCAAACTATGTATTTCAATGATACGGTTGATGCGGAGCAAATCATAAATGTCATAAGAGAGAGGATATCCTTAAAAAATAATCTATCAAGATATGTAAATGAGTTTAACTTAATTTATCCTATCCTATTAATATTATAAAGGCGAAAGTTTGTAAGTATGGATGTATGGATGTTTGTTACTCTTTCACGAAAAAACTACTGGACGGATTTGGATAAAACTTTACAGCAATATAGGTTATACATCAGAATAACACATAGGGTACTTTTTACTGGGAAAACTTCTCACTCCCACGGGATACCGACTTCCACGCGGACGAAGTCGCGGGCGTCCACTAGTCTTTAATAGAAGGACATCCTTGTTTTTTTCCCCCCATTTGGAGTGTAGCGAATTTATATTATTTGCCTTGGGAACATATCAATTACGCCTAGATAGGTCCTACTATGGTGAGCATGTACGTTCCCGTGGTGTATAGCTAATTAATCAAAGTAAGTACAAAAACTATTACTGTCATAAAATATAAACTTAATGGAAGCTGCGAAAATACCTTAGTGGGAGGAAGAATTAAGTTTCGCATTTTGACCAACGGTAATATGTTTATATGTATATTAATGTGAGAGAAGGCATTGTAGAATATTGCTGCAGCTGATTGGTGAGACGAAGAGCTCTTGTCTGTTGTGTCCATGTTAAATCTATAGTTTGGTTTTTAGCAACACCATAACATCATCGCTCCACCGGCAGCATTTTTAATAAATCACGGTAAGGGAATCCTAAAACCTTACAACCCCATGATCCCTTCTTAAATTTTAACACGCTTCCTAGCTCTCTTTTCATCCGTTCCCTGACACTTTCTCCTTAAGCTGACCTACAAAAACCTCGGATCTAACGGCTTTTGAGGAGCGAACCGACAGACTAATAATGCCTCCTGCGCTAAGGCCTGCGCAGTTGAGCACCGTAGGGGGAGACGAAGGGGGCCTTGGGGGGGTTGAGAGAAGCGAGGTCGACGGTAGTACCTTCGTGACGCAACACGCCCCCTTTAGTCCGGATTTCAACAAAACTGTAGCCTCTCTGGGTAGCGCCAGATGAACACGGTCTCAGCCATTCATTCCAAGCTTCCGATGTCGCATCTGACATAGGGCCCCTATATCTATATGCAGTCCGTAATCCTAGTGCACCTTGTTTCTATAAGGCACTCCCAAATGTGCGGGCTCCATGGAGGTTGGGAAGCGGACTGAATGAAGTTTAACACTACACAGTTAAGAAAACACAAAGATTTGAATCACTGCCACAATTGCTGACTCAATTGCTTCTGAACAGGCCTATATAACTTCAGAAGTGCACAACACGCCTGAATGGAAACCGGCTACATCGTCCAGCAACCGAATTTTCCCGACCACCGGGACGGTACAGGGAACGCGAGAGGGAGTTGACGGTAGAAAGAAGGAAAACCTGCCAATACCAAAGCAACCCCAAGTGACACCCACTACCAGCCGGATAAGTAGACCCGAACGTATGCGGGAGCCACAGGCATACATGTTGTCTGAGCAACCCCACATGGAACGGGTACCACGCCAGGAAAAGGACCAGCTATTGCTAAAAGGTAAAGGAAAGGCAAGGGAAAGGCGAAGTCTAGCGCCAAGAGGGCACGACTTGACAAGACTGTGTCCGAGAACAGAGTCCAAAAGGCAAACGACCGAGTCGGCAACCGAACCCAATCCCCGCCCCATCTCCTAATCCTACGCCTCAGGTGCATCTGCAGCAGCCTCGTTGGACACTTGAGTAGCTGTCATATCGAGCGAGAGATTTATCTCTCGAACGATGGTGGAGCTGGTAGAGGGTAAGATTGAGGAAGCTATAATGCAGATTGCGCGGACGAAAGTACGCCACGAGTGTACCAAGGTTGCCCTAGTGTTCAGTGGGAAACCACTCTACATGGACGGGTGCCTTAGGTACACGTGTGGTAATCAACACACTGTGGAATGGGTCCAGCAACAAGTACGAAACTTGCTAAATTCTGATGGAATTGATCTCATTGTCCTTCAGGCTGACGATATCTCCAAAAGGTCAGATGCGATTTCGTACTTCCAAAACAGTGGAAGAGCACTTTCATTGAAATTGAAGCCCTTTCGATAGAACTAATTTCACCAGTATTGAGGCAGCTCTTAAAAGACAGAGCTGAGTCACAAGTTATAGACTGGATCGTGAACATGCTACGCAATAGGATAGTACAGGTAGTAGATGAGGACAGTACAGGAGCACTGGTCGCGCGGGGATGCCCTCAAGAGGGAGTACTCTCACCGCTACTATGGAACCTGGTGGTGGTATAACCTGCAACATCATGTAAGAAGCCCTGAAACAAGTCGAACGCTGGTGTGAACAATATAACCTGGTCGTGAACCCTGCAAAAACGGAACTGGTAATGTTTACAATCAAACGCAAAGTAGGTACGTACCGCCTACCGAAGCTATTCGGCACTACACAACAACTGCCCGAGGAGGTAAAGTACCTAGGCGTAATTCTTGACAGTAAACTAAATTTGAACACCCACATAAAACACAACTAGTCGAAGGCTTTAATTCTATGCACATTTAACAAATTGAATTTTAGTTAGATCAGTATTTAATTCACATAAATACAATAAATATTACATGGAATAAAGTAAGTACGCTCACGCTGTATATCCGCGGCGGGGGCGTTGGCGCACAGCATCTTCTGCCGCTTCCGCTCGCGGCGGCGCTGCTTGCGCGCGAGCTTGTCCGCGAGCGTGCTCCGCCGCTCCTGCAGCTGCTGGGACGTCACCCTGCATCCGTCCACTCACTCATTCCCTTCTTCTAACTTAACGTTCTCACACTGTTTGCCTTTATGGGCAAATTTCTTTCGAGTGCTAATATTTGCCAAATAAAAATATTTAATTTCAACTGAATATAATCGGGATGATCAGCTCCGCGAAATGCTAACTTATATTCAAACATCGGTTAACTAGCGTTTCATTGTAGTAAAATTAATTTGCGATTTATAATGTATGGATTACGAGAGCCGTGGCGGCCGGGGCGGTGTGCGGTATTTGACGCCACATTCAATTAACTAAAAGTGACCGCGTTCGTTGCGACGGCAATCGGTGCTCATTTTATTGAATCTTAGTTACTTTTTTCACTTATTTACTCAGCCGGTCGTCCCGGCTGTGTGAAAAGGAAAAAACTAACTCGGATCATAGGTTTCACGAGGTATTCAGACTTCACGTTCCACGTTCGGCCCCCCGGAAATTTTCAGAGACCGAAAGGACACTAAAATTCTTAGGTTCTTCCGACGCACAATACCATAATTACAAAAAATTTCAACAAGAATGAAATTTTTATTTTTTTATTATCGTTCAGGTAAAGTTTTGAATATTGGTAAACATATTCCTTCATTAAATTACACTATAAATACTTTTCGACTGCTTTAATTTATTCAGCCAAGTCGTCAGGTGGGGCCGCGGGTGGCGGGGGCGGGGCGGGCCCGGCGCAGCAGCGCGGCCGCCGCGCCCGCCAGCACGCCCACGCGCACGCACACACGCAGCACGCGCCGCCATCTGCACACACACACACACGCGCACGCGTACCTCCCTACCGCCGGCACAGTGGGGCCGCCCACTTAAGGATCAGACGAAGCCTATATACCCGAGACCCTCCATCGCGCCGGGAATGAACTTTATCAAAAACATCAATTTTCTCTCACTCGAAAGCATAATCCGTTTCGGCCTCCGGGAGAACGAGACTGCGGGTATTGCATTTTTTGAATCGAAACTAGAACGTCGTTTCAGCTAGACCTAGTGAATAGCACGGATGTACCTGGCCTCCTCGATCTGCGTGTTCAGGATGCGAAACTCGGGGCTCTCCTGTCGACTGTGACGCACGCCCTCCGCGTACACCGCCTGCCGGAAGGAGCGTTATATCAGTGCACATAATACATAGACCTTTTGGTGACGCAAATTTTTTTCCAACGAATACGTGTTAATTTTGAAATGAATAAAACGAACCGAAATATTTGTATAGAAAACGACGTTATCTTTCCGATGATTTTTGATTTTTACTAATCAAAGACTAATTAAACCGACAGACTTCCTCCCCGAACTCTCATGAATCACGATGAACATCATAATTAGCCTCGATAATTTTTTTCAACGACTCGATTATTTAAATTTATCGAATAATCCGTTTGATTCGAATCGAAATTATTATGCTGCTGTGGATTACGCCCTGATTGATTAGTTGAAACTTGACAAAGGTAGTCGGAAAATGGGAATCTAGAACAGTTTCCGTACCAATCCAATTACTATGCTTGAATCATGAGGCACGAGAGGTACTCAGCTTAAGCTATTCTCTGATTATCTAGACAACTCAACATAAAATAAATCTGACTCACATTAGTTGTCATTGTAGCACATTGTAAAATACAAATGACATTGAACATTCGTGTATGTTGCTCTGAATAAATATCTGGAATTGTTACATTCAACATATAGATTTATAGTTATGTTATAGTTTAGAAGAGGAAGTAATAAACATGATGGCGTCTTTGTCTAATATATACAATAATAATGAAACAACGCTATAAATATAACTATAAATTTCGTTATACCGGCAACATTTGTCGTGACGTCACCCCTGGGCCATCCGCCGCCATTTTATGTTTACGGCTTCACTGTTGATAAAATTAAATTTTCCAAATATTGTGAAGTGATTGTGAGAAATAACGTGAAAAAACAATACTGAAATGCCTGCTAAGTGCATTATATAAAACTGTGGTGTAAGATCAAGCTCAACTTGGCCAAATTTATCATTTCACCGGTAAGTTAAGTATATGTGTTTTACTTTGGTTTTACGGTTGTTATTAAACTTTTAAATCTGCAGATAGTGGTAAAAAGTAGTAAAAAGATTTTAAAGTATAGTGTTCTGTCTAATTTTCTTAGAAATTGTTGCATTTTGGTTTTGTTTATATTCTATTTGTTTTGGATAAGTGATGTAGTAATTGTATACTTCGATTTATCGATAAATTTCTTTGGGACCTCAGTATTTTTTGACCATTTATTTAAAATATATATATATTCGACATTGGAAATCCATGAAACTGTTTCTTCTGTTTGATTTATTCACATTTAATTCTGACATTTGAAAACAAGCAATAATCGAGAGTGCGAAAATCGGCTACGATATCGAAAGCTTGAAAGATTTTTGTATTATTATCTAAATTGATGAAAACTTTGTAGTAATTCGTTGTGTAGTTAAAAAGATTTCGCCATATAGACAAAAGGGAGAACATACACAGTGAAACAATTTTTTTATATATTTTTTAAAATAATTTAGAAATACTAATTGCTTGAAATAGATAAGTTAACAAACATCACCATGTCCATGCTATGTAAAATGAAGTAGATTTTTTTTAAACTTTGAGTAAATAAAAGTTGATTTAAGATTTATTGCCAATATTTTACCTTTTTTATGTTTGCAGACAAATAAGCAATAACGGCAGATGTCGACTGTGCCGAACTCTGAACAATATTGGCAATACTAGCAGTAAAACAGCCCTGACTCGTGAATCGATCTTCACCATTGTTGCTCCATGACAACGCGAGACCTCATACAGCACGAGAAACCGTTTTGACCCTTCAGGAACTGCAGTTAGAAATTATTCGTCATCCTCCGTATTCACCAGACCTCGCTCCAAGGGACTACCATTTTTTCGTGATTTGGACAATTATCTACGTGACCACAAGTTTTACCCAGGAGGCTGTACAAAATGCTTTCACACAGTTTGTGCAGTCTTGATCCTCAGAGTTCTAATGCAAAGGCATAAATGACCTTCCTATTAGATGGCAGCGATGTATAGATAATAATGGTAACTATTTTGATTAAATACATTTGTTAAAAAATAAACAATTTTTATTTTCAGTACAAATCGGCAATTTCATACTTTAACCCCTATTACATTGGTGCCATTTATGTAAATGAATACAAAAATGCAAATTAATGTGAGTAAATAAATACATTATGTACAAATTAATTTTATTTTTATTTTTTGCGATACTTATTTCAAATAATATCCCTTTCAATATTCGCATTGAACATGGATACTGGCGAACCATACCATATTTAAATATATAAAATGTTTAGGCCCTGAAAGGAGCCTGCCTTAAAATCTTTCAACTAGATTCTTTACTAAGAGATATTTAATAAATTGTAGAGCAGTCACTGCAATCAAAGATTTTACGAAATTTTCTTTCATATTTACTTGTACTCCATATGGAATTATATGAAAAATAAAATAAATGTTAAGTTTCAAATTTCTTTAAATAAGTCTAAGATATTTATTTGAGAAATTTCAACTGAAATGATGCTATTGAGTAGTGCAATAAATAACAAGAATAAAGTTCCCAGTTCAATTCAATTCGAACTGTGTTCGATATGTAAAAACTAATGATATCTATTTTTCTCAGCGCCCGTCAAGTTCAACCCGCACTAATCCAGAACTACAAACTTGTCATGAAAATTATCCTTTAAATAATATATATGTATATATATATTACTGTTTTAAAATCAGCGAGGAAATAACTAAATGCAATAAAAACATTGACACTCACACCAAATAGGTTCCGAAACCGAGTTTTTTTTTAAATAAATAAATGTTGTATGATAAATTCGGCATCATGGAGGTAGAAATAAATAGGTTTAATGATGTTTTGGATTTAATAACTTATAGTTGGGTCATTATAAACTGTTACATTTGAGATCTATCGATCTGATTTTGATAGTGAGGCCCGAAACGAATCGATATGGTTTTCCAAGAAATGTGAAACGCATGAAATTATTGTGCAAAATTATTATTATCAACTTTATGAGATTGATTTATTAAATAATGTATTGTGTCGACATTGTAACAAGATCAACAGAAGAAAATCATAAATGATAAATGGACAACCCACAAAGTAGTTATAACTAAGCGTAATGCAAAAACATGGAAGAGTGGGAATAACTCCAAAACACATTTGTATCTCATTGCCCACGGGAAATAGATAGGGACAGAGGATGTGGAGTTGCGCGTCAAAAACTATGTGATGAATTACTCGCAAACTACATATTATGACTATTGTTAACTGCTGCATGATTCTGTGGCGACTGATGCGTAGCGACATCTAACGCATCGGCACAACAATCGATAGTTGGACGAACAATAGAACATCCAATATAATTCGGTTGGACGCGGTCCCCGGGCTAACAACACCTAGCTCGGAGGGAGACAATTACTCTTGAGTTTCCCTTGCCATTTGGTAGTTCCTACAATTCCCTCGGTCACAAAGTGAGTTGTGTGTTTATTAAATTTTCACAATAAAAAATAATTAATAAAAATATTTATTAAAATTTTCTTTTAACATTACAATATACTTAAAGCTAGAGTTTTTATTAAAAAATGGAACCGACTTCAAATTTTAAAAAGTGAAAAATAATACTTATATTAAAAGGCGTAACATTTTTAAATATACATGGGAGTCGGTAAAAAAATAACATCATGTGTCTGAACTAGGTGATCCTGTATATCAGGCAACACGAGGGACATGTTAAGTAATTTAACTACAACTATCACAACGCACAAAAACTTTTTTTTTTTACCTTTTAGTCACTATTATTTTACAAGCGAAACGAAAGTAACACTTTTACTAAAATTCAATATAATTGAACGATGTTGTTTTATTTTATAACGCGCCATTATTTATTAAGTATGTCATAGATCTGCATCAGCATAATTGAAAACTGGGCTAAAATAATTATTGTGTAATTCATCTTCAAAGCCTCATTGTTGAACCATTTCCAAACCATTTGAGAAAATTTTATAAATTCACGGTTTGGATATGAGACCAACCATTAGTTCATTAACGCATCGGTTAGGGAGACTCCCGTTGTCGCATGCTCACAGATTCTGTATTGAAAAACAAATTACTAATAGCAACCGAGATGTCGTCTCCTTCGAACATAGCTTTTTAATGGCCTTTTTTATTGTTTTCACGACGTTTTCTGCTTCAGTGTTTCCTTGAGATCAGCATGGCGCCAGTGCGATTTTCATTTCTAGAGCTTCTAGAGAGTCCACGAAATCTGCATATAAGCGCCGTTACGGGTGGTACAGGAACTCCCGCGGGTGGAGTGACGTGTGGTGTGGCGGCGCAAGCGCGACTCGTCTCTTCTATATCCCGGACCTATCTATACCGGATTAATAGACATAGCTACGAGCTATGTACTTCATTTTATTAATACCTAAGTGGTCTTCGTGAATCTCTTTCAATACGCGTTCTTTTAATACTGAGCGCACCAATATTCTACATTTATAAATTAAACATGCTAAATCTACACATAACTTATCTTTTCTTTCGAAGTAAGGTTTCTCTTCTTCACAACTGCTCGCTGATGGCCAACCGAACCACACGAATCCATAAATTATATTTAATCGGATGTCTTTTTTGGTTTCTTTAGCTATTTCTTTATAACTAACCGGTAACATTTTATCGATAAAGTTCAAATACCATACTGCGTTCGCAAGTGGTCGCTCGTGTCGTAAAGGTAACCTCAACAAACCGTCGGCTGGCGCGTTATTCTCAGAACGACGGAGACAGAGAAGACGGGAAGCTCATCGTCGCAGTCTCCTCGCTGCCGTTTGAGGGATGCCGTTATTTTCCTCAAAAATATAAGTGTGCGGTTTGTGATCCGGTTTTAAAATAAATACTGAACTAACTCTACCCTCTACTGTCTACTGAATTAGCATTAATAATGTTTAGTGACACCGAAATATATTAAAGTTGGCGCTAAGGCTTCCTTATCTAGGTGGCTATATTTATTTCGGCGTGGTTAAGCGTGCGAGAGGCCGTCCGTGTGCGGCCCCGCCCAC